AACAAAATTTTATGGACACTTTTTAAGAAAATATTAACTTTAACACAATTTTTTACTATAAGATACATTCTTTTACAAATCGTACACCTATTTTGACATCAGGGTTTGGATTCGCATGAAAATTTTTTTACCGCTTCTATTCAGTAAATAAGCAGATACGTGTATCAGGTTTTCTGTAAAAAATTTGTTTTTTCAGAGATATGTTGATATAAAGTTTTTATGAATTGCGATAAAACGATAAATTCTCTTCTACATAAAACCCATTATCTCCGGTTCTACTGATCGGATCGATTTTGTTTTATTTTTGTTTTAAACCTTATTGAATAGTACGAAAGCGTACTGGGGTCACAAAATTATAATAAAATTATTTTTTTCAATATATTGGATTTATTTCCAATATATTGAAAATAAATTCAATATATTGGAAATAAATTCAATATATTGAAAATAAATCCAATATATTGAAAATAAATCCAATATATTGAAAATAAATCCAATATATTGAAAATAAATCCAATATATTGAAAATAAATCCAATATATTGAAAATAAATTCAATATATTGAAAATTTGGCTTTCTTTTTTTACTACTAGGGGAGCTAATTTCCATTTTATCGCCCGTAAAATATTACAGGTCTGTTGCCATAATGTAGTTTACTTGGATACAAAAACAACAAAATTAACCTATAAAATGTCATTTACTAAGGTGGAAATAAATGTTATTTATAAAGAAATCATCATTTTATCATAGTTATCAAAAACTTGTCTACTCTATTTTATTTTTTATTAAAACTCCATTTGTACATAATACATTTATTATAATAATTATGAACATCATTATTTTACATGCAAAAAATATTAAACTAATAAAACATTTAATCCTGTTTTTCTTTTTTTACCAATAATGTAATATTGGTTTGATGAATGTAGGTATTTTAGGTTTGAGTTTCATATCAAACACCATAACATCTTCCCTATGTGCTGCTATGGCTAAATTGGCGAAATACTTGTGCATTTGCAAGATTATTTAACTTAAAACCAATTCTAAGACGACTCTGGTCTACAAAAAATCAAAAAAACCCTTTTGATTACACATCAATCCCGAAACCATCTACATTGCAGAAAACTGATAACTGCTTGTCTCATCTTTGGTAATCACAGTAGCTTGCAGGACAAAAGCAACCAATCTTGCTGCCTTGTATTCTGAAGTGTCAAATTCCAGTTACTCTGATTTTATAGCTGGGTATGTCTCATTTAACTTTAAATTCCAGATATAACTTTTTAAGTATTTTTGATTGTTCAAAAAATTATATTTTTTTGGATTTTTAAATTCAGTAAACCTTTGCAAGTATATACCTACCAAAAGCAGTACAGTTTTTACCCATTTTATCTTTTTTTTAAGGTTTTAAGCAAAATATCAAGTCATCTACGCCACCAATTAAAAAAAATATTTAAATTTAAGTTTAAAATTAATTAAATAGTTTTTAGTATATATCATTATTTATTATCAAAATACAGTACGTACTTTTATTACTCGTCACCTTCGTTGCCGGTTTTATTAGACTACTGCGTTTTTTTATATATAAAAAAACGCAGTAGTCTAACAAAACCGGTAACGAAGGTGACGAGTAATAAAAGTACGTACCTGCTCCAACAGAATCACGTAGAATTTTCTGGAACAACGACAATAAATAAACCACCTACACGTTTCCAGTAGCAAAATAAGACTGATTCACTGCTCTAGTCAAGAACGTTTGACCAAAAATCATCCCCACCAATATTCCATTTCGTAAATAATAGTAAGTGGCGTAGATGACCCTTACCTTATGGGACACAATATCTAGAGTCTTAAAAACTAAACAAATTAAAAAAAAAAACTAAAATTTGATAAATTGGGTGAACTTAATGTTTACTCTATGAGTTTATAAGGTTAAACTTAAGAAACAATGCAATTTACATTTAAAAAACTATTTTGCACATTTAGTTTCGGGTGAGGGACCGGTAGTGTAGGTGACATTATAAATGTTTCCAATTAAATAAAAATATATTTTATATATTTTTTACAATTTATTTTATATAAATGCGCTAAAGAGCATGATAGTTTTTAAGTGATGTCCTAAAAACTTGCAAAATATTATTATTTAAAAAAATATTTGGCCGGGACAGGTCATTTTTAAGTTAAATGAGACATACCCAGCTGCCAGAATTGTGCCAACCATAAACACTTAATAATTTTACAGTAATTGTAAGCATTTTCTTCATTTATATTTATGAATTTTATTTCAAGTAGGTTAACGTAAATAAAATTTAATTTACGTTCCAAAGAAACCAAGAAAATGTGCAGTCAATTGGCAGCAACGGTACCTGCATTACCGGCGGCGATAAAATGGAAATTAGCGCCCCTAGTAGTAAAAGCCAAATTTTCAATATATTGAATTTATTTTCAATATATTGGATTTATTTTCAATATATTGGATTTATTTTCAATATATTGAATTTATTTTCAATATATTGGATTTATTTTCAATATATTGAATTTATTTCCAATATATTGGATTTATTTTCAATATATTGGAAAAAAATCCAATATATTGAAAATAATAATTTTATTATAATTTTGTGACCCCAGTACGCTTTCGTAGAATAGGCTTTTCAAATAAATAAATTAATTTTTTTTTTTTTTTTTGGTATAGGGAGTTAATAACAGATTAATTTTTTAAACTAGTTTTTCATGTTTGCCCCCTCTATAAAATAAAAGGAAAAAAATACTATTTTATGCGCTTTTTCTTTATCTACAAAATACATTTTTCAGAACAGTGGAGACTCTTTTGGATCGGAAGATATTAAACATTTTCGAGCGCGTGACAGGACTGTCAAGCGCGTAATATTCAAACGTATTAGTGCATGTGGCGGGTGACGTGATATTTTGTATGCCATGATTCGACATCTTTTAATTGGTGACTTATTTGTGCAAATGTCAATTCTGTCAGTTAATAAATTTACTCATTAATTGGAGTTTGTATTATTTAAAATTTAATTTATTTAAAATTATTGAAAACCTTTAAAATCAGAATTAATTTACAAAAAGCGCTGGTATTTTTTTAAAACGATGTATGAGTTTACACTATCCTAAATAGTGATGCCGCGAGACGAGACGAGACGAGAAAAGTCCTTCTCTCGTCTCGTCTCGTGCAGCGAGAGAAAATGGGTCTCTCGTCTCGTCGAGAATACTCTTTTCTCGCTCGAGAGTGCCTTTCTCTCGTCTCGTTTCTCTCGTGGTAAAAGTACCTATGTATGAATACAAAAATTATTTGCAATTAAATACGTATTCGTTTATATTTTTTCTATATAAATTTAAACTGGAAATAAAAAAAAATTGTGCCAAGACCACACTGATAAAGTAAGACTTTTTACGCCGAAAATGTCGCACATTTGAATCAAATGGTTGGATCTATGTGGAGTAGTTACATCTATAGATGCGCATGTCCGTCATTTTGAATCCGCAATTTTGTTTTTTGAATGGATATCAAATTCTTAATCAGGGACCCCATAAATATCTAAATACTAAATTTTACCCAAACCATTAAAGCCGAACAACAAATTTTCGTCATATTGAATCAGCCATTTTATTTTTTGAAGAAATGGATATCAAATTTGTAATCAGCCCCTCAAAAACCACATGTTGTTGATAAGTTCATTGAATAAGCAATGCTTATTAAGCATACGGGTTGTTTAATAGTATAAGGAGTGCCATAAATGTGCTTATACAGGGTAAATTTTAAAAATTAATATTATTTTATAAGTAATTTTTTTCTTGGTTAACCTTAAGTTGTGTTATAAAATAATAAAACGTTATACAGGAACAAATTTTGTTTATTATGAAATGCGAATAATGTTCTCATTGGTCCAAATAAATATCGCAAAATTAAAATTTTTATGTAAAAAAATTGTTTACTTATTACCGGAATAATCGAGAGAACGAGAGAGATCGAGAGAAACGAGAAATTCTAGAGCAAGAGAGGGCATTCTCTCGTCTCGTCTCGAGCCTTTTTTCGAGAGAAAATCTCCCTCTCGTCTCGTCGAGACGAGACGAGAGGCGAGAATCTCTCCGGTTCGGCGGCATCACTAATCCTAAATGTGTTAGCGTTTCGAAGATGTCTGATTAGGGGGTGTCCATTAATTACGTGAGTCAATTTTAGCGATTTTTTGACCCCCTCCCCCCTTGCTGATATGTCGTGAGATTTGGCTCAACCCCCTCCCCCTAATCTCACGTGAGATTTTAAAAAATGCTTATTTTTAATGTTTATACGTTAAACTGCTTGATTCTGTTGGATTTATTAAAAAAACATACTTTGTTAAAAATTACGTGATATTTGCCGAGACCCCCCCTCTCCCTTACGTGAGAATTGATGAGATTTGGCTTGACCTCCTCCCTCCCCTAAACGCCTCACGTAATTAATGGATGCCCCCTTACGGCTTGTACTGGTCACGCGCTCGAAAATATTTAATATCTTCCGATCCAAAAAAGTCTCCATTTTTCTGAAAAATTCATTTTGTAGAGTAATAAATAGTGCATAGAACAGTATTTTTTTAATTTTTTTTCAGAGGGGGCAAACACAAAAAATCTGTTTATACAAAAAAAAATATTTTTTTCATATAATAAACAAAACACAAACTTTTTAAATATTTATCTAAAAAGACTATGTAATATGGTTTAAAATAAAAAAAAAATGAAATCGATCCGATCAGTAGAACCGGAGATAATGAATTTTAAGTACAAAAGAATTCAGCATTTTTTCAAATTTTATCAAAAGTTTAAATCAATATATCTTTGGAAAAATAAATTTTCTGCAAAAATTCCGATATAGGGGTCGGCTAAATTTATGAAAAGATGCTGTAAAAAAAAATTAAGTCATTTTAAAAATTTGAAAAAATATGTTTTCTGTAATCCGTACGATATGTAAAAGAATGTCTCATAACCAAATACTTTTTAACACTTACAGTTGAGTGTCTCCAGTATGTAATGAGATCTTGAATATTGCTGCTGGGGGCAAGTAGAAGAAAATCCCTCCATTCATCATAGCTTATGTTCAAACTCCCGTCCTGATCCATTCTAAAAAAAAATATAAAAATTATTCACATGACATATTATATTTTACCTTTTTATTTCTAAATACAGTTGTGAACAAGTTCTGTACTTCTAATTTTAGTTCACCCAGTATTATGCTGTTTAAAAAAACACTGTGTTCAGAGCTGTTTTAAATACATGCAACTAGTACTCTAGTGGTACTAATAAAGTTAAAGTACCAAAAAAATGTACTCGACTACAAGTACTAGATCTCAGTTTTAATGCAGGTATTCGATATAAAATTTAATCAATTACTGGAGTAAAAAAAACATTTAAAACTGTTAAAAAAAATTGAAGGGGTATATTTTCATGACCTAATTTTTTTTTTATATTATATTTTCATTTATACAGGGAGTAAAATTGCATTTAAAAATTGGAAAAAAACAGCAGTTCTCATATAATAAAAAAAACTGAAAACCTGTCAAAATTAAAAATCGCTATAACTTTGCTATTGCAGAGAATTTAAAAAAATTAAGTTTCACATGAAACATATACATTTTCATCCAATTTGTGATTTTTTCGCCCAATAGATCTTGAGTTACCATCTTTAGGATATGGGATGTTTTCAATGGTTTTTATAATATTTGCTCGAATAATGAAGAAATTGGATTAAAATGTAGATAATTGTGCATATTTACATGTAAAACTTATTATTTTTGTAATTTCCAGAAACAACGAACGTATAACGATATATAGATTTTTTTAAATATTCTTTTTATAATTTTTAAATTATATTTTAATATGCTTATCACGCAACTTTACCCTGATAAAACCGACCGTGTAGCTTTTCAAATAAAAAATTACTCATATGTAAACATAGAAGAATACTTGGTGCAACCTGTATATATTTATTGTAAAATAATATTAAATATGAGGACCCTAGAAGCCAAGGGATACAAGTGACATTTAAAAAAAAAAGTAGTTATGTACAGAAAAAGGTAGTAAATGGTACATTTTACTTGGTATCCAAGGGATATAACTGAATTCTAAGCTAAGACATGTTGAAAAACCGAGTCATAAAACCACAAACAATTTTGACCCCCAATTACAAGTGTTTTTTTACTTTAAAAATGATTATTTCAAAACTAAACAAAATGTACTTATACCCCTTGGCTTATAGGGTCCTCATATATAATTTATATTATGAAGTATTTTAACCAAGCTACAATTTTCAACTATATTTTGCAAAATAGTTCAGGTGTTTCTATACCCCAATGATTGTTTAAATTTACAAATTTTGGGTGTTCCAGTTCCATGGGAATTTTTCAGTTTTAGAAAATTGAATATTTATTATTTGACCATTTAAATTATATTAAAATATTTCCATATTAGAATAATCTAATTTTAATCATTATAATTCTATAGAATATTACGTTTCTCACATGTTTAAGTTTTGCCAGTTTGGTACCTACTACCAGATAAGGTATATTTAAAAATTTAAAAAATAAATAAATTCTCTGGTTCTATTTCACTGGAACTGACAAGCAATGTTGCCAGGTCTGGTGAAATTTTATATTTAATAAAAAAAATTTAAAGTTTAAAATTTAAACAATAGTACCTATCCTTTTTTATGCTATATGCTACAGTAGTAGGTATATAACGTTTAAAGTATTTTAATATTCAAATATCCAAATATTTGAATAATCAAATTATTCATAATTATTCCCAGCCCTGGTAGATTTTAAAATTATGGTCCTACACCTACAACATTTAGTAAATTACAGCTCTAAATTTTTGTAACTATTTACCTACTTATATTTTTAATTATTGTCTCAAATACTAAATAAATATGTATATATATATATATATATATGTTTTTTTATATTTGAAGCATAAAAGTTCTACAAGTTCTACACATTATAAAGCCATTACCTAAAATGAATCCGATGTTTCTCGGAAATAATGGCACTTACTGAAATAACAAAAAATGGGTAGAAGAAAGGAAAATAAAAATTAATTAACTACGCAAAAACAAATATTAGAATAACAAAAAAATATGCTAAAACATACAAAACTTAAAAAATGTCTAAATAAGAAAAAAAATTGTTTACATTTTTTAATATCTACCTTTGTAGGAGATTTCTAGCCTCAGATCTATCTAATGGTATTCCTAAATCACTGAATGCTCTAACCAATTCTTCCAAATCAATTTTTCCTGTAAAAAAACAAATGAATAGAACAATTTATTTATTTATTAGTTTGACCTATTATAATAGGTCAAATAATAATAATAATAATAATACTACAAAAAATAATTATTTTTTGTATTCTACAGATACAGATTTCTTGATTCTGTCTAAGGCGACTTTGGTTTACTTGATTCTGTCAATCTCATGTTTTTTATAGGTTTTAATCCACACAGTGTTACCATTTTTTATCATTTAAGATTAATAACTGGAAAAAATATTAATTAGTTTTTGATTGTAAAATTAAATATTAATTGTGTCTTATTATTAAATCGTTAAAAGGTAATTGTATCAAATTTTTCCAGAGTACAATAATTATTATTATTTAACCCACTAATTTTTTACGGTCCTATAAAATTAACTACTGTGTATTAATACACCCTTAATGTTTTTTAAATTAATGGTTTTTATAGACTATGTATATCTTTTTTTATAGATAACAAGCATTCAAACTGTTTTTTTTGTAATAAAAAGGTATGTTATTATATATAATTATATACATATATGTATATATTGTAAAATAACGACATTTTCTATTTTTAACCGTAGAATTCCTTTAATTGTCGTTGAAACGTTGTCTGCCAAATATGTGGGCTTTGCGAAATTTAAATGGAATTAAAATTATATCCAAAGCAAAAGGCCAGACTAATTAACCCGACCTTTGCATAGATTTCCACGTGCCAAATAAACGTGCTTGAAGCTTATTGAAAAATGCGTGAAGAGAAATTTGTCACGTTTTTAATTAGGTAAATAAAATGTTTATCGATTTGAAACACTGCAACTAAACTGCGCACCACTCAATGTGTCGCGAACAAAAAGTTCGTCCTTTTTCAAAATGACATAACTTTTTTGTTTCTTAAACGATTTTATTTTGGTATGTGATGTCTGCTAGCCCCATCCTCTGGCAATTCATGCTATAGATATGAAGCTAACGGTTCTTCAAGTAAATTTCGTACAGGGTGATATGTAAAACGGTGAAAAATTTCAACTTCATCCAAGGCCCCGTTTGAAAAAAGAAATATTTTTTCTCGTTTTTAATAATGAAGTATTATGTCTTTTGGTTTTCGGTAGGCAATACACTCAGTCTTTTTAAGAACAAGATAAAATGGAAAGATTGTTCCTTGAATAATTATGTACAAGCAACTAGCAACAAACTTCCATTATTTTCAGAGGGGCCTAAGCAAAGACCACTTTTTCAAAATGACATTTTGGTGAAAATTTGCGAAAACTAAACCTGAACCGATATTTACGTTCGTGGCATGTTTTCTTTATAATTTTGACCTCCTGATTGTGATTCAGTTGTCAAATTGAAGTTTCAGATAAAACCGAAATCACCAAGAATCAAAATTCGAAAACAATTCCCGGCTTTTAAATGTCTTAATAAAATCCGATTGCTGGCGTGTTTCTTGCATATTTATGATTAAAATGGCATTTGGGGATTCATTTTTTGGGCGAAATTACTGAAATTTATTTGAGTGGTTAGGATAATGTTACATAACTTACTAGTGATAACTCATCACTGATAAGTACCTACCTAATTGGTAATAAAGTTAAATAAAAATATTTCATTTTGGAAAATTGTATGCGAAGATATAATCATAATCAAAACTACAACATTCAACAGAAAAATGTAACAAACAATAACAATAATAACTTTCAATATTTCGTTGACCCTCCCCTAACCCGTAATAATTCGTTAACCCTCCTGGGCCTCGACCACGTTCCTTATAAATTCCCAAATTTTCAATGCGTCCTTCCCTCTCTTTCATCCTGCTCCACACATGCTCAATAGGATTCATATCCGGAGACAAAGGTGGCCAATTCATTCTCTCAATATGGTGGTCCCTTAAATATTCATTTACGATATTGGCGCGGTGCGGACGGGCATTGTCGTCCACCAACACCAATTATTGGCAACATTTTGATAAGGGACCATGATATCACTAACAACCAAATCTCTATATCTCTCAGCATTCACTCTTTCCATTCATTGCCATTCCACCCTAAACAGTCACTCCTCCACCTCCAAAAGCCACACTTGCTTCCCGTTTCGTGCAATCATGCGAACCGTTGATTTGTAGATGTTAATTCCCGTAGCTCATTTAAAGGAAGAATGGAAGTAACCTTATAGGGGTAGGTATGTAGGAAAAATCAAGAATATCCCTCATAATGCGTTTTAAAGAAATAATTTTCATTTGATCATTCAGCGACATGATAATAACATACTAAAGATGCCAAACACAGTAAAAAAAATAGTAAAAACCAGCAATCCTATTTTATTGAGACATTAATGTAACATTAATTTAACAGCCAGGAATTGTTTACGAATCTTGATTCTTGGTGATTTTGGTTTTATCTGAAACTTAAATTTGACAACGGAATGACAATCAGGAGATCAAAATTATGAAGAAACATGTCACGAACGTAAATATCGGTTTAGGTTTAGTTTTCTCAAATTTTCTCCAAAATGTTATTTTGAAAAAGTGGTCTTTGCTTAGGCCCCTCTGAAAATAATGGAAGTTTGTTGCTTGTCGCTTGTTCAGAATTATTTATAAGGAACATTCTTTCACCATCTTATCTTCTTGTTCCTAAAAAGACTGAGTGTATTGCCTACAAAAAAGCCTTAAATGTACTCTTTTGGAAAAAAAATCATATTTTCGTTGCTTTCCAATTCCAATTCGAAAAATTTGAAAAACGTTTCATGGTAAGACATAATACTTCATTATTTCATTAAAAACGGGAAAAAAACTATTTTTTTACAAACGGGGCTTGGATGAAGTAATTGAAATTTTTCACCGTTTACCATATCACCCTGTAGGAAATTCACTTGAAGAACCGTGAGCTTCATATCTATAGCATAAATTGGCAGAGGATGAGGCTTTGTGTTCTTAACCTTGTATTTTTTTAAGCAAAAATAGGTACTCTGTATAACACAAAATGTTAATTTTATAATCAGCAAGGGTCTATTCATTTTTTATTAAAAATACTATTCCAAAAGATTAGTTTTTATGTAAACAAGATAAAATAAGGAATATACCAGATAGTAAATGTTTTATTTTTAAAACTAGTGTTACTAAGCTGTGTTGGATTAAAAAATGCAATAAAATTTAACAAAACATAAAAAACATTTTTGACAATGTTATTATTTTTTTCTAAACCTCTATTTTTGGCAAACATTCTATTGCAATGAGGCGACAACCTTGAGATCAGTTGCGATTACATTTTTTTCTGAATAAAATCGTTAATATTTATTTTTAAAGGAGAGCCACAGTCTGGCCTTTTTCCAGGTTGGATTCATAAACTTTGTATCTAATTGTGTGGCCCATGGAATGAAAGCCGGCTAATACCAGTACAGTGCAAAATTTAATGCGAATAAATTAATTCTGATCAGATGAATAAATTAGAAAATATAACATGTGTGAAATGGTTTGCAAATATTTGCAATTTGAGACCCCTTTAAAAAATATCACAATTTTATTGGAGCAAGATATATAATATTTTGAACATTTTCAAAATTCAATTATGATCGTTTTTAAAATAGCAAATGGGAAACTTAAAAATTAAGAAGCTTCCAACTTTGTCTAAATTTAAGTAATTTTATAAGCACACATGATAATAATTCATACATTACCAATGTGAATTATTTTTTGTTTACTTACCATCTTTATTTTTATCCAGATGTGAAAAATGTAGCCGTAGATTTTTTTCATGTTCCCTGACATAGTAAATGAAATCTGCCAGCGACAGATCTCCGCTTTTAGATTGGGTACTTTTAAGAAATTTCTGTAACAAATAAAAAATCATAGGTAACAAAAAAACGCAAAAAACACAAAGCTAAATTTTGAATTACTTGGGACGAAATGCAGTACCCATCATCAAAACAAATGTTCATTTTCATTCGAGCGTGCCCACTGATAAAGCTAAAGGAGAACAAATGAATTTACTGGAAATTTTGGCAGAGCTATCAAGATTAAAAATAGATTGTGTTGAATTCAATATATAAATTTTCCGTTTTTGATATTTTAATACAGCTAGGCCAAGCATAAACAAAAACAAACTTAATACTGGTAAAACTAGTTGATAAAAAATTACATATCTTTACAAGATGTATATAGGATTATAATTGTGTGGATGGAAAGTTAAAAAAAATAATTTTTTTCTGAAAAATACTTTTTAAGTTATGGGCATTTAAGTTTTATAATTTTGCAATGCAGTGTAGGTCATAAGCCAAATAAAAGAGCTACATTGTTGCCAGATCTATTTTATAACAATTTCAATCAAAACCAAGTAATTTTAAAACTTTATTAATCAACAACTTCTAGTCAAAAATGTTATATACCTATTTGTCCTGTATAAATGTGGGTAGATAAATTACCAAATAAGCAATGAAATTAATACTTACCTTAAACTAAATTGTTTAGAAATAAAGTCAGCAAATAATAAAGCAGAAAAAAATTAAGCTCTTTATTGACCTAAATAAAAAAGGAAGTATTAAAAATTCCAATTTAAAAGTCCCACAAAAGTAATCGGACTCCGGAAATTCCGGCCCGGAATCCCTCCCGCGAAAAATCGATAGTCAAGGTCAATGCTAGCGACGTTGCCAATTCTCTTAACCCACATTTAATTAAATAAAATGCATGTGCAACGGCTGCTAGATTACTTTCATAACCACACTATTTCCGATAAAAATGTAATTAATATAATTATTGAAAGGAATAATTTAGAGGAAACGTTGAACCCGTGATTTAAGTCGACAGGAATTTTTAGAACGGTAATTTAACCTTCACACAAAGTAATTTACAATTTTTTATGGATTGTCAATCAAAAACTCTTAACAAACATATTAGAAAAAATGCATCTAATAATTAAACATAAATCTACCAAAATATAGGTATAAGACCTTTGATATATTCGAAAATAATTGGACTATGTACTACAATGTTAAGTAAACTGTTTTTATTGTAAAACGGACTATTAATTAGGTAGTACAATACTGGATAATATTTAAATCACACAATGGTAAGGTGTGATAATTAGGAATCGTATAAAATAGCTTGTCAACACACCTCAGCATACCCATGATGAACCCCATGCTCTCTTAGAGCCGCAGATAAATCATGAATATCAATTTTTCCGTTTCCATTCAAGTCGAGCTTCGTAAATAGCTTTCCCAACCTTTCTTCATCTTCCTGTGGCAACTCGTGAAGGTAATGAGGTGGCAGTTTCACTATGCTATCGTCGTCTCTCGCCTTGTGTGGCATCGCGAATTAACTACTCACAGCACAATATCACCAAGAAAATGTTAAATCAAACATTAAACCTAACTTTTAACTCAAAAAATCGCTTGAAACTTTACCGCAATGCGACTGCACGGGGCCAAGTCGTTTGACAGATTGAACAGGTTGAGCACCACAACGACATCTACCAACCGAAAAATCAAATGTCCCGTTAAATATTCAAACGTCTCCAGGTTTCTATAACGCAAAAGAAATATAAAATAAAAAAATACGATTTTTAGAATAATAATTTAATTAAATTTAAGTTGCAAAGGCATGCGTGTGAAATCACAAGCTACTTCTTGGTTAAACCATAGAAAAAGGATATTAAACCACATAGGCAAGGAATCACAATCCAATTTACCTATTTATTAAAAATAATATTTATTTATTAATAATAATAATTATTATTATTTATCTATGAATTAAAATGTGTTGATCGTAAGTTAAACGTGGTAGGTACCTATCTGCTTATAAAAGCGAAATCGAAATTAAAGTTTTTGTCTAAAATTTATAAATTATAATAATAAAACATTCTAAAAACAAGTCTGTTTTATTTACTCTAAATACTCAAAACTGCAAACAATAAAATATTTAAAGATTTTTATGATTATAAACAAAATAGGTACATTTTTCATACAAATAAATACGTGTAATTTAAATTTAGCGGGTTTTTTGGTTTCCGGTTTCGTAGCAGTGACGTAGTATCTTTCGTAGACATCGCAGCCATCTTGTTTTATTGACCGCTTTCAATTTACTTGACGCTTCTTGTAAGTTTGGTCAATTTGTGTCGTAATTTTCGTTGAATTTTGATCGTCTTTTGAGTGTGTTTTTAAGGTAAGCGTTAGTTCGTAAGGATAATAATTTTATAACGAAAAAAATAGAGATATCGTAAATAGATCTTCTTGCCGGTATAGATTCTAAAACGATTGTTTTTTCTTTGATATTAATTCAGATTTATTATTATACATATTTAGTTGAAAAGTAATCATGGCAAATAGAAGAATGGGTGGAATGGGGGGCGGTCCTCATAGAGGAAATCGCTCCTTTTCTCAGCACCAACCATTTCAAGGAAACAATGTTAACCCTTGGGGAAATTCAAATAATTCTATGAATCCGGGGTTGATTTCTCAATTAACGTCCAACCCCCAGCAACTCGCGCTAGCTTTGTCTAGTTTGCTGCAACCTCAACAAGTGAATCCACCATCGTTGCTTTCTCTGAATACATCTCCAGGTTTTTCTAATCAAGACCGTGATCTAAATCGGTTTGGAAACAGAGGCCGTGATTTTAGACGACATGAGCCTTACAATAAGGTATGAAATACTTTACTACAATTTATTCTAGCACTATTTGGACATGTATTCCTTCTTCATGACCATGTACGTCTGAAGAAATTTTTTTTAAATAATTATTACACCTTTTCGATGATAAAACCCATTCAAATGGTTGGTGGTCATCGTTATAAGTGTGTGTATTTGATTATCCTCTTTAAGATTTATTATTTTATATTTTACTATTTTATGTTGCTTCAAGTGTTACCAATATCCATACCAATCAAAACCCAGTTTCTAATAAATATAAAAAACCATTATAATCAATTCCCTTTTGAACAATTGAAGCAACAAAATATGGGATATCCATCTCCAATTTTGTTACAAAATTTTTCAAAACTTCTTTTATTCTTAAAGCAACATTCATAAAATTATTAAATTCTGGAATGGTTTTAGCCTAAACACCTATTTAGGCTTTATTATTTTATGAATTCTATAATTTTTTTTCATGTCTTCAAAGATTTTTATATAGTAGCTATTTAGTACCTATTTAATTGTTGTTTTCCATTTTTAATGTAAAAGTTGGTAAGTTTGATACTTAATACATAATCAATTAGAAAAACTTTTTTTAACATAGATAGAATACTTGAAAAAGGACAACTTTGGTGATATGTTAAACAAATATTAGACATATTCCCCAACACCAAAACAAAACACAAAGTGCTTAAAGTACTTTAAGCACTTTGTGTTTTGTTTTTGTGTTGGGGAATATTTCTAATATTTGTTTTTAGATAAAATATTTCAATGAGATATTTTAGACTGGAAACATTGTTTTTGCGATTTTTGTAATGGTAACTATAATAGTATTAAAATTGCTTTGATTGAAGATATCAATTGTCATAGTAAAAAAACTAGAACACTAAACATTATATTAAGTATAAATTATATCAAAGGAAAATTTGGGAAAATTCATACCAATAACATTACCATTAATAACCATTACATTTCAAAATCCCTTTAAAACTGGACATAAAAGTTCTCAACATGGCAAAATATTAAAAAAGTTCCTAAGAACATGGACAATATTAACATTTTATTATTTCTCTGTACTAGGAATAGGGTTGGGAAAATTTCACTTTTTGCTTGTACTTGAAATTTCACTTGAAATTTTCATGACATTTATGAAATTTATTAAAATTTCCTAAATTTATGAAATTTCATGAAATTTATTGAAACTTTCAATAAATTTCAATCACTTTAAGTGTAATATATTAATATTGAAATAATCCCACTTGAGGACCATGGCAAATTGCCTCTCTTACCTCCTACCCCTCTGTGGGCCCCTGCACCAATAATATAAATAGTAAATACCTATGTTTACCACACATTTCTTGAGATTTCCTTTTAAAATATTTTTAAAATTACTAAAACTAAAAGAGATATAGCACTTTTTGGTAAGCTAATGAGATTGTGCTACTTTCATTGTTGTATATTTACTATTTTTAAATATTTTACTGAAATTTTACGAAAATAGAAGAAACTTCATCAAAATTTTATGAGCCAAAAGCATTTTTTATCCGTTTTCCAATGCAATTATAGCAAAAGTAAAAGTTTAAATTAATCATGACTTTTAAAAAAAATTTAAAGTCTGATTTAATTTACAAATTAAATTGGTAACTGAATTACATTATTTAAATTAATTTATGCATATAAGTAACAATAATTACTTTTGTATTCAAATCCAAACCGAACTAAACAAAAACGCTTGATAACTCGTTCTTATTGGTCGATTGGGAATCTGTTGTGAATTATTATTAAAGGTCCCATGTGAAATTTATGCGAAATTTTCATCAAATTGCGAAACTTTCAATGAAATATCCGAAATATCTGAAACTTTCACAGGCATGTTGAAAATTTCATTTGAAATTTTTAAAAATTTCACTTTTCCAACTAAATGAAATATTTCAAGTTTGAAACTTTCAAAGTCACAACCCTAACTAGGAATAATAAATTTTGGCCCACACACTACAGTTAACAAATGCAACTTTTCTGTTGCAGTCCTGATATTTACACATTATTAGGGGTCAAAGGAAATCATTTTATTTTACACAATTATCCATTTAATTTTACACAAAAACCGTTTTGTTCAATGCCATCTTCAAAGGGCATAGCTCCTCTTGGGGACTTTTTCATATTTTGAATTAAATTTAATTTAATTTATAGGTTGTTCATAATTTTGAGCGGTTTTAAAACGTGTATTGGGATTTTTTACCCCATGTTCTTGATACTTTCCTTCATATTTTGTATGGAATTCGGAGACAATTTTTATAACGTTTTTGTTTAGTAGATTAGCTCCTATATATTTTTATAAACAACATGAATGAGAAAATCGCAAAAACGGTGTTAAAATGTTTTATTTCAGGGTATTTCTGTGCTTGACAAATTTTATTAATTAAATATGTTCTGATTTTATTAAAATACTTTTCATTTCCCAAATCACATTAAAAAACTTTTTAAAATAATGTTATTTTAAATAAAACATCGGTTTCCTGTGTTTTATTATGCCTTATTTAAAATTAAAGTGAGTTGGCGGATTCAACGCCTTGTATTAATTGATAAAAATTTTGTTGTTCCCGGAAATACTCTCTAGAAGCCTTTTAAATGTAAATATGTAGAAATTATATTTAAATCTTTTTTCAAAGATTTTAACTGTTTTCTGTAAAATTTGTATTAAATGTTTAAAAAATGTATACTACTTTGCTCCCCTTTATTTAATAAACAAACCAGAAAAGCAAGTCTTACTGTACTTTTTACGAATAAAAAAAATAGAACCGCAATGGAGGCGGCGGCTGGCGTCCTATGGACAACAACAGGAACCGAAACCAACAGCGCCGCGACGGTCCGAACCAGAACCGCGACCGTAACCGTTCGAACTCCAAAGCCGAAGACAAGAAGAAGCGCGACGAAAAGAAACCCGAAGAGAAGAAGAAGGAAGATAACGCCGACTTGAGCGTTGACGAAAATAACGAAGAAGGTAGCGAGAGCAAAAGAGATTGGAAGGAAGAGAAGAACACGAATGATGAGAAGAATCAGGAGAGTGGGGACGACGAGGAGAAGAAGGACAAGAGCAACAAGGACGGGAAGTATTTCGATGTTCCCCAGAAATTCTTGAACTGCTTTGTGTGCAATAAGGAGATGTGGGATGGAGAGTCCATGCAGAAACACATTAGAGGTAAATTAAACGATTTTTATGAATTTCGTTAAAAAAGGTTTTTAAAAGTCAGGGAAAAGTCACTGTTTTAATTGAAATATATGTCAAAAACTTATAATGGAATTTTTAAAGAAAATTTTAAAATGTCAAACCCATTTTTCTATAAGCGTTTACTTGTTAGAAGTAAAACTATTTAAAAATCTCAGGTAGTATTTTTAGTAACTGTGTACTAATTTTATGCAACATGAGCCATTGAATTCTTACTTTATTCCCTAACCCCAAATAAAATTACCATATCTACAATCAATTTAAAAAATATTTATAATTGTTCCTTTGTTATAAATATTAATAAGAAATAATTAAATTTTTTTTAAATATTATTACTAGGAACTTACCTAGTAATAATAATAATAAAAAAAATTGAATTTCTTTTAAGTTTAATTAAATAAAACATTGTCTTTTTTACTGGGCTTTTTTGGATTTTATTGTGTTTTTATTTTTTTACATATTTTAGTGAAAAAACAACATTAAAAGAAATACTGTTGATAAGTATAATCCATTCACGTTTGGTAGCCCAAACTATGTGGATTTTTTATTAGATTGGCTACAATGACAATTAACGTGTGTATTTTTTATTTTTTCACAAAGTCTATCTCATTTAATTTTAAAATTTGATGGCAGCCATAAAACTGTCAAAATATTTTTCGATTGTGATTCCTAAAATAAAAAAAATCTGAAAAATTTGTCAGATGACCCAACCTCAATTCAAGGACAAGTTTGTATCTTAAACTGCAGAAAATTAAAAAATGCAGAAGTTAAGCCTGGTTCTAACAGAAAAGTAATTTAATTTAAGATGTAATTTAATTTAACTTAAAAGTTAAAAACCCAACAATCCTTTGTAACGTTCATACAGTAATGTAATTTAAAACTTAATTTAATAGTTGGCCAACTTTTATCTTTTAAATTAAATTACGTTATTTCAAGGTTATTTCGTATTATCTAACCTATTTTGGGAGAATCTAACCTATTTTGTGTAAACGGTTTTAATAATAAGACAAATATTTCGATTGTAATTACCAAAGTAAGCCATATATATCTAAAACTTTAAGTTTTAAATACATTAAGTAAGCACTCTCTTTAAAATATTGTTTTTAATTTCAAACACTATTAAATTACGTTACTTTTTGTATGAACGCAAGTAAATTAAATTAAATTACTTTTAAAGTTAAATTAAATTATATTACGTTATTTCTCTGTTAGAACCCAGCTTTATTTTCTCCGTCGTTCGATAACTATTAAATGCGTAGGTGGAATACAGATAGGCAGGGGAATCCCCGAACTTTAAAATTAAGTTTTGGTCGATCGTTTCTTTGTATATAAAATTTGCTTGTTTAAATAATTTTGAGATTTTGACGGTTCTGATTTTGGTCATGGCCTACTATGAATGTTTTAGAAAGATGTTTTCTTTTATGCAACAAAAGTAAAAATATAAACTGTATTATTTATCATAAGAAACAACTTTTTCTATATTTAAAAAAAAATGTTTAATAGTTTGTCGACCCAAGTTTGAGATCGGGAGGTAAAGCCGGTATTACAGTCTGCAATTCTACGTGCAATACGCAAAATTCTTGCACGAAGGCATGCGCATAGCGACGTTTCGTGCAAGTCTATTGCCGTTTCAAAATATCGGTCCTGCTCGATTTTTATTGCCAGTTGCATGCAAGTCTGGAGAAAAATCCACTCTTTAAATTCACTAGAGATGTTGGTTTGTTTTTTGAAGTCATTTGTGTGTTGTTTCTTTGTATTCTAAATTCTATTAAATAATTTACTCTCCGGCAAAAAAAAAACCGGCTACCAGAAATTAGCAACAATTTTAATGTTGATTTCCTCGCGAACCCGATTTTTTTTTAATGCAGGTTGACTACTATAACGATCCTCATGGAAGACATTTTTATTTTGTATTTATTTTAGCATATACAGGTTGCAAAAGTAATATGAAGTTTTTTGCCTAAAATTTGTGACACCCTGTAGGATGCATCAGCAATAACCGCAGATGTCAATTAAAATCATACTGTAGTTCTATATTTTGTGAACTTTTGTTTTTTTCTTCACGTTATTGTCTCTTATTAACGAAGGTACACTGTTTTAAAGGCAACTCTTTGGATAAAGTGTTCATATGATTTCCTCGCAAACCGCTTATCTGATTTTGATGTTTTTTTTAACTGTTGGTCGACTCTTTAGTAACGATGCTAAAATATTCATTTGTATTCATATTTTAAATTGAGCATATACAGGGTGCAAAATTAAGACGAATTCCCCCCCCCCCGAATTTGTGAGACCCTATGGAATGTACCAGCAACAACAGCGGATGTTGATTAAAATTTTACCGTAGCCTTATCTTTTCTGAACATTTTGTTTTTTTATTCGCATTATTATCTTTGTTATTGACGAAGATACACAGTTTCAAAGCAAACGCACCAGATAAAGTCTTCTTATGTAAAAAAAATAAGTGTAAAGTCGATATACGCTGGAACGGATGTCAGTTATTTTAAAATATGACAGTAAAAGTTGTCAAATGAGAAATACCGTTAATTTAAGATGGTCGAAGTCAACGTTATGTGTCTAATACGAACACTTTTTTCGATGCGTTGAACAGTGTCTTCTTTAATAACAGAAAATAACGTGAAAAAACTAAATGTTAAGAAAATATAGGCTTTAATACAGGGAGTTACAAATTTCGGGAAAAAAACTTACTCTTGCACCCTGTTTATCCTCAAATTAAAATCTGAATAAAATTGTTTACCATAGCATCGTAACTGAAGAGTCAACCTACAATTAAAAAAATATATTAAAATCAGATGAGCGGTTTGCGAGGAAATCAACATTAAAATTCTGGCCATTAAAATGTAGGGCAGGAGCTAAGTTTTATTTTAATTGTTCTTTATAATATTTTTAAAATTTTATATTTTTCTTCGGTTGGTATCATGCAAGTTGGATTGGAATTGCAAAGTGTATTACAGCTTTATAACTTGCGTGCAAGAAAAATTGCAGACTGTAATACGGGTTTAAGAAAATTTTAAAAAATTCTGAAAATTTCTTTGTTCAGAAAATATTGAAAATTTGCATGCTTATGTAGCTTTTTATTTAACTTTTCTTAATAGAATGTTGTCATATCTTGTACAGGAAAGGTACTTAACTGATGTCAAAAATAAGAAATTCAGAATTCTTGTTAACAACGTGTTTTATTAGGTTTTATTTTTTTACAAAATATAAAATGTATAAAAAAGTTTAAGAAAAACCATTAGTGCTATTTTAAGTGAAATTTCCCTTAAAAACACACTGTGCAGAGTGCTGTTGGGTATTTCCATTGTAACGGGTGCGACAATAAAAATGCTTTTTTTCATGATAATAAAATATTTGTTCATATGTATCAAGATACGTTAATATGAAAAAATAGTATAAAAAATAGGTATTTAACTCAAACAAAATGTCAATAAAAAATTGTATAGAAAACCGTTTATAACGCCATGAATCGCGTAACGGGCGCGACCTTATAAAATCGGCAAGTTGGCTTCTAAAGTTGATACTGTAAAATTTTGGATGAAATCATATAGTAATAATTTTTGGTGTAAAACTTGAATAGTAACCTTAAACAAGCACGTATTTTAAATGCACAATAATGTATACTTTATTTTATAAAATTTTCTCAAAATGTAACGGGTGCGACATTTGAACATTTTATCGAGTATTGAAACTCTTGTGTCTTTATTCTTAAAGCTCATTCACATCCACTTAATAGGCGTAACTTAACTTAACTTAAGAAACCTACGTCTCTTAAGTTGTCTGTTTACATTAACTTAATACACGCAAAAAACGTAATATACAAGCACGTGCAATGTAGACATCGATGTAGACTGGGTTGCCTATCTATCTATAAAAGTGAAACAACAAGATAGCGCTATATCGTTTTACTGGGCATGTGATTGGCTCTATCTATAAAAGTGAAACAACAAGATAGCGCTATATCGTTTTACTGGGCATGTGATTGGCTCACGTAAGAAACGTATTGAGCCGGACCCAACTTTTGGATACGTTAAGTTACGTGTGATAAGTTTTCTACGAATGTAAACAGCTGCATTGGTTTCAATGTATTTTAACTTACGTCTCTCTCGTACGTTAAGTTAAGTTACGCGTATTAAGTGGATGTGAATGAGCTTTTAATGTTAGCTTGTTACCACAGACCTACAAACTTGTTTGTAGGTCTGTGCTTGTTACCATCACAATGTACGAATATTTTAAGGTTAAAAATTACGTCGCAATTAAACTATTTGACTTCAGATATTGTTTTTTTGTTAAATAACACATCTGTTTTTTTGTCAAGGTGGGGTAAGGTTTCGTGGAAATACCCTGTTTTAAGTGAAATTTCCCTTAAAAACACATTGTACGGATTTTTTTAGAACGAAAATGGATAATCAAAAACTTCAAATATTTTATTTCTATAAGGGTAATTAAAAACTGGACATTAATGTTTCAGGCAATTGAAAACTGCCAAAATTCAAAAAATTGCACAGTATTTCAAAAATTACAAAACTATCATTTTTATTATCTTCGTAGTTATAAAAAAAACGGTCGTAGAAAAAATATTTTCCCTAACGAATGCGCAAAGTGCTGTTTCCGCACTGATAATGACTAAGACATACTTTATTCTACTTGCATATCTGCACCCCAGAGCCAAACTGTATTAAGTCCACATTTTTAAAATCCCGCTCTTTTCAATGTAGCATAAGTTTAAAAACTGTTTACCATTGGTTAAAGCGGAAAAACATAGGAAAAAAATTGTAACGTGATTTAAAAAAAGTGGAGTTGATAAATTTTGGCTCTGGGGTACAGATATGGAGACTTAAAAATACTAAAATTCTCTAGGACGCGCGCACAAGCAAATGCTGAACAGTTTGGAGGAGAGCATCCATTGCACCGTGAAAATTTTGCGCGAAAACATGCGCCTCCAAGAGGAGAAGAAAGTGATCGAAGTGAATCGCATGCACCGCCTCAAGAAATTCAGCAGGTACCAGGAGGTTGAGAGCCATTGCAACATGTGCGATCTGAAGTTTTTGGGAAAAATTCTCGCCCATCGCAAGTAAGTGTGCTTCGAGAAATGATTGGGTATTTTTTGACGTTTTTTAAATTTGTTTTCGCAGGACTGAAGGTCATCAGCGTTTGAAGCGCTACTTGCACCCGAACTGCAACATGTGTGAAAAGGAATTTCCCTCCAGAATGGAATGGGTCGAGCATCGTTTGACCCCAGAACATTTACGCACTATGAGTACTGCGATCGAGAAGAAAACTGGAGGCAAGGGTATAATATAAATTTTGTGACGTAAGTAACTTTTATGAACGTTTTATTATTTTCTAGACGGCGAAATCATCATTAAAGAAGAAGAGTTGGATATTGAACCGCTCTTGGAAGAACCACTGCAATTGGAGGTGGAAAATCCGATTCTGGAACTGAGCGATGACGTTTCAGGGCTACAAAACATCATTCCAGCTTTTAAGAAAGACCGCAAAGTGTCCACCCAGAGCTTGAAGCCATTCACAGGGTTCGTGTGCGAACTGTGCGACAGAAGCTTCGTTAATGAAGATTTGGCACAGGTTTGTCTTTTTCTGTCTGTCGATCGTGAACGGTATAGCTAATTTTTTTTAATATTTTACATAGGACCATTTGAAGACGCGCAGACATTACTACGCGTTTATTGAGGCCGCCAAGAAGAAGTTGCAGAAGCAGGAGGATGATAAGAAGAAGGAAGAGGAAGAGAAGAAGTTAAAGGAGGAAAAAGATAAGGAGAAGAAGGATGAAGAGACTGGGGGTGAGTTAAAAACAAATTGCCATTTTACTTAAAATTGATCAGTTTTAAGACCTTCAATTTTTCTAATAGGATTTTAATATGCCATCATTTTTACTATACAAAACAAGGATTTGCATAAATTAATTCACATGAATTTCAAACTTTTACTTTTAATGTAAAAACGGTTTTATCAAATTTGATAAAAAACACGCAATCAAATAAAAATTCAAAACAACCGCGCGTCTTAAAGGTGGCGCAAAAGTCATCACCCAATTTCCCAAGGATGTAACTTTTTTTGTAAATGAATAAAATCAGTTCAGTTTGTAAATAATGTTTATTTGGTCCTTTAATTTTTTTCCTGGTAAGTGTAAACAATAATATTGGCCATGTGGCAGCGCCCCCTAAAATTTTAGTTTATGAAAAAAATTATCAGACTCATAAAATCCCTTAATATTCATATTAAACCCACAAAGACAATGCATTTCCCATTTAAATAACATGGGGTTTTGGCATGTTTTACATTTAATTTTTTTTCTCCTGGGCAAGTTAATATACAGCAATGAGAAACATATTTTTATAGGAAATTGAACGCTGTACAAAAAACTTCCTTATAATTTTTCGATAAATTCAATTGTTTAAAAGTTATTTAAGGTTAAAGTGGAACTTTTAATAATTTTGATTTTTTTACTTTGACAGCAAAATTATCATTATTTCTGAAAATATGTGATTTTTATTGTATTATTGAAAAAGTAAATATTATTAAAACGAGATATGTGAAAATTATTGACTAGAGATTCTGATAAATTAAAAAAAAATATAACATTAAACAAATCTGGTACTAGTTTTACACAATTTTAGTATCATTACTTTTTTTACATAATCTTTTTATATCTGTGAAATTCTACAAAATTTTATAAAATATTATTTAATGAAAAATTTTCACGATTTAACAGGAAAAAATGTAAAGTTTCAACTAAACATTATTTACAAATAAAACAGATTTTTTTCATTTACAAAAAAATTATAGCCTTGGTAATAAATTTTGCGCCGCCTTGTATATGAACGTAGTTACACACGAAACTGCACGTATTTTGTTTTAACCTTAGTTTTCTTATGCTCGGGTCAAGTTTATTTTTGGTTTTACAGTCAACTTATAGAGAGTAATAAAAATTACGTTCCTATTCAAAAATACCCAGTTAAAATGGTGGGCCAATCTAAAGTTTCCACCCCGGATTTTTCAGGTGTTGCGTAAAAAAATAAAACACCCTTGCACACATCTATTTTTAATTTGAGAGTCACAATTTATTTTTATATTTTCAACTCCACACCAACCCTACAACGTTTTGAAGAAAGAGGGTTGAAATCCGTACATTTTGGTGTAGTAGTAGTTTTTAAAGTCGGTGTTCCTTTTCGAGATATTTGAGGAAACTTTTTTTTTTATCTTAAATTGTAGTCAGGTCCGGGACGGAAATAATAACACTTCTTGATTTATAAATTTTAATTCACTTAAAACAAAGTGGGCGTCTCTTCGCCATTTTCTCTTAAAATTTTGTGTAGCCAACCTTAAGAAACTAAAAACTATAAAATGGGACCTACATTATCGACAACAACAAAAATGCACAGGGGCAGTGTTGCCAGAATGTATAAGTTTTCCTACAAAATATAAATTTTGACACGCTTGGTGGTTTTAAGTGTCATTTTGCCAATTTATATTGGATTGCATTGAAATTGAAACACAATTAAGAAAATAAATAAAGCTTCGCAATTTTGTAAATTTTATTAAAATCGCGTAACAGCACTTCAAACTTTAAAAATTGTAAAATGTTTGCCAAAAAAGCGATTTTATTTCCTTAAAAATAGGTTATTTTAAGGGACGTACTCTAAGAATGGTTATAATTAATTTTCTGTATTTCAATTACGACTCATAGCTACATGAAATAATAATAATATAATATGTAATAAAGTGAATATTTCTTTGTTGAAAAGTGTTTGGTGGTTTGTTGTAGTTTTATCGTAACAATTACATAAAATCGTTAAATTATGTTTAAAACAGTTTTCAAATTATGTTTTTTTATGGCTAATTAAAAATATGCGACAATAAAGCAATCCAAGAATAAAATCTAAAAGTTTTAGTAAAGGGTTTTCCATTTAAAGCGTCATAACCCTAAAAATAAGGCTGCTCTGGAATGTAAATGTCAAATCTTGACAACACATGTGTTTAGTACATTGTGTCAAATTAATATGGACAGATAACAATTTAACAGCGCTTAGAAATAATTCGTATTTACCATCAAAATGCATGTTCGGTTTGCCAAACATTTTGCAAGTTGCGAGAAATATAAGGTTTATCGTTTAAGAAAAAACTGGTTTACTGGCAAATAAGTCAACTTTTGTGCATCTAAAGGATCATGTGAAATCTCAGGTTTACAAAAATAAGCCACGAACAATTCTCGACCTTAAACGAAACATTAAACGCACTATTCAAAGTATACCACGCGATATTTGTAAAAGAATAGTAGAAATTAGGCCTTCATAATGCATTCAGTCAGGCAAAGTCGAGGGGGACATTTAAACGATATTATATTTAAAACATAATGTCATCGATCGTTCTTCAAAATAAAATATAAATTACGGGATTATAACATGTAGTTATTTTTTTATCTCATTTAAAAGTTCTGACGCTCTAAATGAAAAACCCTGTATATGGAAACATTTTAGTTTTTGGTTTCAGGCACTTTGTTTAAAATGTGTTTTAAACTATTTACAACACGTCTTGTTTAAAATAAAACATTTTGTTTTAAACATGTCAACCCTGCTAAATAAAGTGATTTTTTAGATATGTATGATCCGGAAGAGGCTTGTAACGAGGAAGACGAAAGCGCAGTCAAGGAAGGAGAGGAGGAGGAGGTGGAGGAGGAGGAGGAAGAAGAAGAAGAAGAGAAACCGGAAGAAAACGGCGCCGCCGATGAGTCTGCGGAGGCGGAAGTGGCCGAAACGAAAGATGAAGTGGTGGAATTGGAAGAGGAGGAGGTCGCCCCCATCGAGGTGAAAGAAGATAAACCGTCGCCCGGACGTCCGGTGCGAAAATCGGTCGCTCGAAACGGAGCCGGACCCAAAAGCAAGAAGGCACGTAAGCAGTAATTCTAGTAACGACTGTTTCCAAAAAAAACTTGAAGCGATTTTAATACATCGCTTTCTCTCTATCTCTCTTTCACTTGATCCGCTTATGCTTAGTTTCACACAAAAGCTTTTGGAAGACTATGATTAAATTCTGCAAATTGTAACTAAAACTTTTTGAATTTACCAGTTGCGACCCAATGTCGAAGCACCTAAGGTTCAAAAGGAGCTTGGTGTACTTCTCGACAAGAATTCCACCTTGTCGAACTTCCGCATTCCGAAAAAGAATGCGGCGCCGGCAAAGAAGCAATCGTAAATTTCATTAGTTCTTTGTTCTATTTTACAGTTTTTGTCGAAATTGTTTACGTAGTTTTTTTGGTCGTCAGTAATTATTGGTCTATATAATTTTATATAGCGACTGTATTTAGTTAAACTTTTACACTAGGCAATTTTTTTATGATACAAAATATTCATAATTAATCTTGTAGTATGTTTAATAATTTTATCTACAACTATATTATTCATAATTAATTCATTGATAATTAATGTAATAAACCTACAATATGTGTGAAAATATATGTGTACAACAAAATAATATTGAATTTTATTTTATGGTCATTTTATAATAGTTATTTATGTCATTAGGTTAAGAAGTAAGGCTTTTTGTGCTAAGCTCAATTGAGCGAAGCACAAAAAGGCACTTGGCCGAATGGCATACAACATTTTATCTTCAAAGCACTTTATATAGGTCAATTTAATTCAACATCAAAGCGACCTAACCTCACTTTTTTAGAATCTCATTTATTTATTAGCTAAAGATTACATTAAATGTACAATAATAATTATTGCTTTTAGAAGCAGTAATAGTATGACAATACCTAGCAACATGATTTAAGTAGAAATGGATTTTTGCTATTACATTGAATTCAATTAATTGTTTAATAAATAGGTAGGTATCTAATTTCAATTTGTTTGGATTTTTATTTAAAAAATAGGTCTTTTGGAATGTTTAAGCTTTGTTTAACATTTAATTTCACTGAAAACTTACAGCAAATTAAAACTAATTTAAATCGTAGAAAAAGAATTAAAAGTAAAACAAACAAATTAGTTCTTATTATAAATGAATTAAACCTGTTTAGTACGTTAATTTCTTAGAAAATGATTAATTTGTCAAAACAATACCCCTAGCGAGAAAAGTCGAACTAATTACTTGCCTCATAAAAATTTTTATCGGCCTAGGCCTAGGGATTTCTTTATCGAATTTTGACAACAATAAAGTTAAAATTATAGACCGCGTGGAGATAAACCTCTTTATTTATTTCTTATTCATTTCACTGGTCAACAGCTTCATATTTTATGTGTTTTTTATAGAGATGGGAAAATTCCCACTTGACGGAAGCTTCATCGAAAATTTCCGAAACTCCGAAAGTTTCAAAAACAAACTTTTTATTGCGAAAATGAGTTTTTTGTGGCAGGAGGATTGCAAAAATATACAATATTGGTTACCTATACAGGGTGCTATGTAATTAATGTAATATATTAGAATGGGTAGGGTCCATAAAGAAGCACCTGAAACTTTTTTTTCTAAATTCTAGACTAAAAATAATTTATAATATCCTTTATCCGGTTTCCTAATTTAATTTATTATGTTATGGTTGGTAACAACCAGCGTTTTCAGATTCGGTCAAAAAAGTTGCCAGATTTTGTTTAAATTTAGCTAAATTACAAAAATGACAAAATAATTTGGCGTTTTTATTAATTGTTTATTATGTCATTTTTGTAATGAAGGTAAATTCCACAGACCAAAACAAATGGATGGCGCATTGCCATCCAATAACAATGCTTTGTTTGCGGTCAACAAACGGTCACAGTCTAAGCGTTAAATTGGCGATAGAATTTTATGTTTTCTTCCAGTGATGTATTGGGATTAAAAAAATAATAAGTAGGTAGGTACTGTATGTATTGTTATTTTTAGTAAAAAATAATGTATTTAAACTCCATAATTAACTTAAACACGATAGAAATACACAACCGAAAACACAAAACAACAAGCTGTCAACCTTTTTCTATGCTGTCAAATATGACGAATTTACCAACTTAACAACGTATTTAATTTTAATAATTATTAAATGATTTACTTTCTTTAAATAGAGAAAAATATCTAAAGAAAATGATGAACAAATCCTTTTTACATTTTTTTTTATTATTCAAACGAATTACTGGTAATTATTAATGTTCATTATGTTATGATAAAGTGACCAGATTCTGTCAAAAAATAACGGGACATTTTGTGTAAATTAACCTTAATTACAAAAATGACACCATCAACAATAATTAAGTAACGTCAAATTTACAATTTGCATTGTATCATTGTGTCAATTTTGTAATTAAGGTAAATTCATACAAAATGTCCCTCTATTTTTTGACAGAATCTGGTCACTTTAGTTATGATGAACGTCCAAAAAGTCTTGTAATCTATACTTCTGACAACGTTGGAAGCCGTGTTTCTTTCGACGGTGTTTAGAATGTTAAACTATGCTTTACTCGCTTTTTAAACGTAAACAAATCCGTCCATTTGTTTTGATGGTCTGTGGTAAATTCAAACAAAATCTGACACCTTACTTTCAAATTTTAGGTTATGTGCTCAAATTGTATACAATTTATTTATAAATATCTTAACTAAGGGAAGTGCTTTTGGATTTATTTACAGTTGAATGTTTAACCTGTGAACTTGCCCTAATTTTATCTGAGTAAACATAAAGAAAATAACCTATGAAAAAATTTGTGGTTTGAAGTTTTTAAAATAGGTAGGTGGGTCGTTTTCAAAAAACACCCGCCTTCCGCTGTCCGTAAGTTTGAATTCCAATAACTTTGTTAAAAATGATCGGATCTTATTGATTAAAAAAAAAAAGTGAAAGCCTAACAAGCCCTTAGTAAACTCTTTCAGAAAATTTTTGTTTAGTTATTTCAGAATATTTTTTTTTAATTTTGAAACTTGTGCAACACACATTTTCGCATGTCCCATTAGCGTTTTATAAAACTTACATACCTACATGTTTTTTTTTAATATTGAATAACCAGAACATTGTGTTGCTTTATAGCAATCCATAACATCCTTAGTTATTTATATATAAAATAATTATTTTGAATCTACTTTTTTTAAATTTGACTCATGTCCCAGACATTTTTTCCGTTGCGTTACGTCCGTCGCGTTACCGATAGAATATTAAAAAAACTTTTTTGGTACTCACGTGATCAACAAATAATGTTCAGACGTGCACATTACCCAGCTGAATTTATTTATTCAATCAGGAAGAAGATATCGGTTAAAACAGGTGCGGGTAACGCGAATGTAATAATTGTTTGTCCGCTAAGTTACTTAAAAAAATAATAAAAAAAAGTAAGAAAAAAAACTATTTTTCATGTTTATGTTTATTTTAGGGCACTAAAGCTCATTAAGAGTAATTAATGACTATAATGTCTTATTATTATTTTTTAAATATGGTTTTACTAAACTTTGTCCACTGCGTTACCTTATGGTAACGCAATGGAATTTAGGGTAACGCAATATAATTTTTCGACAACAAAGTGGATATTTACCGTCGCTTTTATTAAAAGTAGTTTATGATTAACCAATTTAAAATTATTTGTAATTACAACTCATGGTGTAGATTACATCCAAGGAAAAATTCCACGCAATATAAAAGTACTAAAAGGGACCTTCACCAGCTTATAGTCAAAGAAAAAGGGTGTCTACAATTTAGAAATCTAAGTTATTCTGCAAGTGAGCACCACTACAAGGGATTTTGTTTATGCATTACTCTAAAATCGTACCAACCTATATAGTTTCTTTTTTATGTTATCTGATTAAGTCCTTTGTGTACCCCTGTCCGTTGTGATACCAATGTCTATTTCGTTTCTTTTTTTAGTTTTTGTAAAAAAAATACTTAAAATGTTTTTTATACACTATTACTTGGTAATACGTGTTTATAAATTAGAGTTTAATTCACTAATACAGTGACTAAAAGAAAATATTAATGGTATTGTTTTTTTAACAAAGAATCGGAATGGTTTCTTTTAAAAAGTAACTTAACGAACATACATATTTAAAAAAAGCATACAAGTTTTAATAAAAAATAAAATAAAAAATTGGAGTCAAAAGTTTGTGAACTAAGTACATTTTATTTCAAATTATTTTTATAACAACTTTTTTTATTGAATTAAATTTTGGATTTCAAATTGGTAACACAGTGGAGATATGTATGTATAAAGCTAGCTAAACACATTTTTCTGAAAAAAACGTAAAAAAAAATAAAAAGTGCACTGCCTGTCTTAAATGTAAGTAAACAAAACTAAACATTTATAAAAATCCAATCAAAAGTCAATTTAAGCAAAAAAAAATATTTTGATCTTCATTTTCCTGAAAATGACCCAGGTACTAAATTTTTTAACTATTGCTTAAGCTAATAGCTGAATGAGTAAATAAATACAGAATGGTATTTATTGAGTTTTTAATTATTTTTGGAAGAAACACTTTGAGTAACAATTTTTTACTGGCAACGCGCAGCTACTTTGTAGGTTGTTATCTATGTAATCACAGAACACAAGTGTGTAGTGTAGTCTATAGACCTGTATGATAACAAATAATATTTTTGTTTTTTTATGTTCGATTTTTAAAACCGTAACGCGCCGTCTCCACTGCTTTTCATCCATGATAGTATGAACAAAAATTAACTGCCAGAATGTCCCTGTAGTGTGTGACATTTTTCAATTGATTTTTAATTTTTTTTACTTACTCAAAATCTTATGAACTTTTTACTCTGACTTATTCGGAGTATTTTCGACTTATTTAGTGTTTTTAAGAGACAGTAAGACTTTCAAAACTTTTATTTTAGTTTTTCAGAGAAAAATGTCCAATGCGTTTTTTTAGAGGAATCAAAAATTGTAGGTACTTACCTGTGGAGCTATATTTGTAATGGTTTTTTTGAGGTGGTGTGAGGTTAGTGAATAAATTAATGACATCATTTTTGGAGAGAAAGATATTTTCAATCATGTATATTTAATAAGAACACAAATCAAAATATCCAGTACAATTGAAATGTAGAATTATTACATCATAATATAATAATAATAAACCCATATGCTTGACAGAATAATTGAAACACAAAATTCAGAAACGCAAGGCGATCACAGATAAACAACTGTCAAATGTAACATGCATAACTTTTTTTAGAAGTTTTTTTCCATCATAAATTGCACATTTCGTTTGATATGAATTATATCAACGCATTTTAATATGTATATAATGTATATTCAATTATTTAAAAACATTCAGCTAATTCTATATGTACTGGAAAAAGCACAAAATAACAAACAACAACTTTTTCATGTATTATCCAAAGAAAGTGTACCAAGATCTGTTTTTTGTGCCATATTAATACTTTTTTAATCACTGAACACTGAAAGATGGAGTCTAGAGGGCAATAAGTTTATAAAAATATAAATAATAATTTTAGAGCTACCATTATTTACAAAAAATAACTTATTTTGCTACATAATAGATAGTTTTTGGTAGCTTAATCGCCCGCATCACAACTATCGAATAAAATTTGACTATTATGTAATAGTTTATGTTGCGGGCGCCAATAAAAGAAGTGTTTGTAATGGGTGCAAGATTCCAGTACTGAGATTAATATTAAAACGTCCACTTTAAGTGGCACAGTGATAGTACTAAAGTATTAAAAGTCTAACATCCCAAATACTTCAGTGCATTATTATATATAATTATAATAATAATAATAATAAGTTAGGAAGTATGAAGGCATATAGATAGTTTATATTTATACAATTTTCAAAGTTTATTCTTTTTAAACATGTATCGTCGCCCGAAATTGTATGGTATACCGCTAAGCGACAAGGAAATACAATATCAAGCGCATATACACAAAGCTATTCAAAATCAAGGATAGCTATCACAAATAATCGCTTACTTATTGCCTGGACAGACCAAGCTGTTGAAGATGTTTAACATTTACAATGGTATGTAGCAACAAATAGAGGTATGGTTCAGGGATCGATATACGCCAAATCCGCCCAACAAAACAAACCGCCAAAGGCGTGCTTAGTGAGAGAGTGCAAATGGAATATATCGAGGGGTGAACTGAAAAAACACCAAAATATCGGTAATCAATGTATTCAGTCAGAACACAACTAAAGGTCATGATCTAAACATATAAATTAAAAATATATTTAGAAAATGCGAACCAATCACCTTCGTTTCAATCAACAAATTAATGGATAGTAATAAAAAGTGTTATTGCTTATTCATACCACTTTCGCCTTTCGAGAAGAGAAAAGCTACGTTAAATAATAGTTTATAACTTTAATAACAAATCATACCTAAGTTTGACATGAAAAAAACTAGCTAACTCTGTTATTTACAAATGAGAGGTGGTGAATTGAATTAATAAATGACTATATACAGGGTGGTTCACAAAACATGCGCCATTGCTCGGCTAGAGATTCGTCATTCAAAAATAAGAAAAAAGTTCATGTAGGTAAGCGTAGCAAACGTTGCCAAATTTCAACAAAATCGGGCAGATGTTTTTAAAAGTTTTTTTTATTTTTGGATGACGAATCCCCCTCCGAGCATTGGCGCATGTTTCTTGAAACACCATGTATAGTTGGAAAATTTACAAGATGGCGATAACCGAGTGATTAGGTCAACACATCTGAATATAGTTTTAACAAGTGATCGAAAGTATGCCCCAAACTTTGATACACAATTTTTATTTGTAATCTTACATTTATTAAATTCTTCAGTAAGAAACAGTACACAGTGTACTTACAAGCTTAAATATCAGTCACAAAAAGTAATATATTATAAGGATATAACGATAAAATTTACAAAACGAAATTGTAATTGCACACTTAAAGAATCGTTAGCAGTTGTCAGTGGACACAAGCAAGTTGAATGTTTGTATAAAAGTTAAGGGACGCCATATGAAATTTTTGATATTTTTCTAAAGTTATACGATAGTTGGTTGAGATATTACCTAGTAATTAACTATACCATATATGTATATATAATAATAATATATTATAGAGTAAATTTACAGAATTTAATAAGATTAATAGATATATAATTTAACACACTGGCATACAACAGAAGTTCTACATTCATACCGACTCTATGTCTGAGCGAAAGAACAGCGCTCCGCCTCCTTACAATAAAACACTATATTATTCAATATTATTCATTACATACACAATAATATTTATTTATTATTATGGTGCTGGAGATTCAAATACAATTAATTCTGCATAAGGGTGGGTAAACATTATTATGACCAATAACAACACATATTTGTACACTTATATACAATTAGTTTAAACTTGATTCGAAGTGTCTCCCTCAGACAAAGAGCAAAGTTAATATTAACCATTTAATTTGTACAATAAAAAAAATAAGTACAACTCGTAGCAAAGATGTGTTTCTTGTGTTGTTAATATTAAAACCAATCAGTTTAAATATTAATAGAGAGATATATATATAGAACGAACAATGACAATATTATTTTTAAACTCGGCATATGAATAAAATATTTATAGCAATATATTTAAATTAATCAACACACACATATAGTAATAAGTGAAAACATTTTTTGGATGGATGAAACATGACCGGATGACTCGAAAGTTTGACTTAAGTGATGGAGTTGCGACAACAGGTGTCAAAGGGTATGGCACGCTTATATCACTCAACACGTGCGACCAGCCAGTTCCAGCTCGCTGTCTCACACTGCCGACCGACATACATTTTTAATAATATTTCAAAGGATTACAAACGAAAAACGACCCGTTTTCAAACCTCGTCAAATTTTACCAAGCAAAGAAGTCATTCTCGACATTTTTTTGTATTTTTTTTATAGGTTAAGTACGTTTTAGAAATAGTAATAGTGATTTGATTCGATTTGATTTGAAAATGGGTCGTTTTGTTGGACCACGGGGATTAAGATTTGAGAGCGTTGGTTTATAGAGAATTATATGGCTCTTTTAATACTTTTCTTAATACCCTTGGTTTTATGATGGATATTATTAGGACTATATTCAAATTCACACTACTGACTCTACTGGTACAACAAATTTTTCATTTTTTTTTACATTTACATTGACTTAACATTTACAAAAATACACGATAATAGTGTGAGGCGTATCTTCAAAAATTTTCTGATGCATTAATAAAAGGACAAAAATGTTTGGGGCCCCTAAACCCACAGTGCTGGAATCTTAATAATCAAAAAAACCCAGTAGATATGGAATGTAGTCGGACAATAGAGAATACTCCGAATTATAATAATTAATTTAAATTCTCAACAACATTTAATTTTTTTTAATAATAAAAGCACGATTATCAATTAGGTTAGAAGTTAGCAGTAGAGAGCAGTGTGCAAGAGCGAGGCACGATCAGCGTATGTAGTAGGTAAGTAGTACGACAGAAAGAGGAAGCAGACCAGCTACTTGATCCAGACGTATTGTTATTATTAAGACGAGCCTGTCGTCCATGATTAATATTTTTGTTGTTTTCTAGTAACTAGTAAAGATGTAATATGTAAAGAGGTGTGAGCCCAACTGCTCGGGAATCACTGAACCATAAACGTAACACCCTGAAACAACAACAAAGCAAACATAAATTTTACTTAATAAAATGTTAATATATCATATCTTCAATATTAAATCTTTGTAATTTGCTTATGAAACAGGTCTGCAAAATTATTATTTTTTATTCATATTGTACCTATACACCACGTCATTTACCAAACTAATTAATTTATCAATATTTGACAGTTAAGTTTATTAAATAATCTATAACTTTTAAACTACCCACGCATTTAATTAATTTTATAAATTCATGGAATTTTTTTTTGTAGAAAACTTAATTTGCTATAATACGAAAGATAATGCGCATAATCTCGAGTTTAATACTATGCTTTATCTACTAAAACAAGTATGTAGATAATTAAGTGATTTTCGAAAATAAATAAAAAACACCTTATTCTGTCAAATGGTTAACCTCAACCTTTTAACAATTTTAAATATTATACTATATACAATTAAACTAATAATTAAAGTCGTCTTCTCCCAATTTAAAACCCGATTGGTTCAAATCAGAGTGAATATTGAAATAGGCGAATAACAACGTGAATAATGAGTTCATTATTTCCGTTGTTAGGCAGGTTAACCCCTAACTTTAACCGTTTTGCCGTAAATTGCAAAATGTAGGTACTGTTTTTTATGAAAAATATTTTTGGTGACATATACAGGTCTATAAATATATGAGCAAGTACTGTTAAAAGGCAACTAGGTAATCATCTACTAATCGCACCTATATAAATTGAATACAATTACGTAGTAGGTAGAGTAAAATTCCACCAAGTTGTAAAGAATTTATAAAAATTTCCTGTAATTATAAACATACATTAATATTGTGTGAAGTGTAGGAGTAAAAAAAATGTTCGTTTAAAACAAATCACCCTAATATGTATACGTGGATAAAAAAATTGTGACGTGGGTTAAAATCTATACCTTTTATACGACGGTATACCTATACCTATAATGTATATTTTAACAGAGTATGGTTATTTAAGTTTTAATTTTAAAGAATAGTATTATTATTTCAATATCGGCCCAATGTAGTTCATACATTGGACCAATATATTCTGCTACTGGGGTAGTCTATAAAGCATGTCACACGTTTAGGGAGGAGGGGTGTTACCGTTTGTGACTGGCGTTTTAGAGAAAAAAACAAAAAAATTTGGAAAAAACATGTTTTCCGTTTTCCCCTGGCCTTGGAAAAAATGGCCTTTTTGTGAAAAATTTAATTTAATAATAATAATATTTCCGAAAAGACATTTTTTCAGCACCTTGCAGACAATAAAAACGAAAAAGGCTTTTTATCTGCTTCCACTATGGTAATTAGGCAATAGGTATATTACTTTATAGCAGGTAAATTGAATTTTTCGTGAAAGGCTGGTTGCTATTGACTACGGGAGGTAATTCAACTACTACTCATGGGCAAACAACGTCTTAATAACTACAAAATCATAGCAGACTACGTTATATCCCGCGGCGGGCAAATATATAATAACCGTCGCAACAAACAGTATACGTAGACACTTCCTACATTCAAATGACATTTGATTTAATCATCAATATTAATTATTAGTATTATTAAATGTGATTTCGGATAAAATTTAATATTCACCTTGGCATTAAAGTCATTTTTATCAATCACGCGGTTATTTGCCTCGGCTTTCGCCTCGGCAAATAATTTCCACATTCGTGATAAAAATACGACTTTACTGCCTTGATACATAAATAACTATTTATTACATAATTTTAACTAGTCTTGGACTTTATCGCCATTTTTAGATTGGGTTCAACTGACATGATAAAATTTAAGCTTCATTTTTGAACTAATAATTTGATTTTTCATCTAGTATTGTATTAAGTATTGTATAAAGATTATGAAAATTATAAAAAATATTGTGAAAGACTTTCTACAATCATTACTTTTCTATAAAATATTGTAAAACATTCTTCAGTTATAATCTTTTTTTTTTAATTTGGATTATTATTGAAATATTTAAAGAAACAAAATCGCTTAAAAATCATGCTATGCAAAATATTCAATATAAATGCCTTAAACTTAAGTTAGGGACTACCTACTAAATAGTACCGCCATCTATTGACCAACCCTGACGAAAATAAAGCGTGCATGAAAAGTGTGCATTAAGTGTGTATTTGGAGTGCAAATCTTTATAACAATGAGCATACACGCTACTTTGTGGTAATTTCACACTTTTTGAAATAATTAAGTTTTTTCACTCTTTATGTACATTGACATCACGCTTTTTATTTGTCATATGTCACGCTTATATTATATTATTATATTTTAGCACAGTGTTAGTACATTGTTTAAAGACATTTTGCAAAGCTTCAGTCTATCTTACGCATGTCACATTTTATACACACTGTTATAGCACGCTTTAATATTTCTCATTTATGACGATTATATTACAGCTTTTTATAGCACATTGTTTGTACAGTTTTAGCGATCACTCAACAGTTTAAGCACATTTTAGATATATCTCGCTTGTGTTGGGGTACAACATTTATTAAAAAAGGTGAGGTAGATTCAATCTTATGCATCGCTTATCGGCCTATTGCTAAGATCAAAGCAATCCTCGCCGTGGAGTTGACAGTGCAGGTATTTTTCTTAATAAAATACAGTATGTAGGACCTACATTGTGGGTATTTTTGTTGAATTTTTTTGAAAAAAATATATTTATTTGATTAATATTATTAGAAGGATATTTATATTTCAATTATGTGTAAATTTAAGACTTTATAGGTCACCAAAAAGAATCTGTTTTTGTAATAGGCACAAGAAACAGTGTGCAAACAATGTGAAAAATCAAAAGGAGTTCCCTTTAGAACATTGTCCAGTGATTATTCACACTATTAAATTTTTGGTTTTGCACATTGTTTCATGTTCCATTTCCCACCCTCCGCACATCATTTTTTTAAAAGATTGCACATTGTTCTCAAATTATTTTGCACACTTTTTGCACATTTCATTTTCGCCAGGGAATAGTGGTAGAAGTATTGATAGGTATATTGACATACCTGCGCAGTTGGCGTTTGTGATGCGTTGCTATTTGAGTGTAGCTCACGAGTGTGCATTGGATTGGGTGTGATTATGGTCCTGCGGCGTTTCCTCGGCGGGCGAGGGCGGCGCGTCCTTCCTAGGCGGCATGCGCTCGTTGATCGCGTCCAGTCCCTTCGCCTCGGCGAAACTCGTAATCTTGTGGTTCGGGGAGAATCCCTGCAACGCTGCACAAAGAAAGATACATACCGATGAGCCGGTTTAAACTTAAAACGTCAGAAATATAGAACATCAAGATGACTGTTTTTTGGACAATTTGATTTTAAATTTCTTATTCAAAACTGCAATAAAGGATTTTTTCTACGACTACTATGTAAAAGTAACATTTCGTAATGGCATCGTTGCTTAGAAGATAAATCTTTTTATTGGCAAGGCAAAACTGTGAAAAGAAATTGACATTTGACATTCAGATGTACAACAGCTCGATTTCTTCCAATTTGTGTGATTTTATTAAAATTTGTATTGTATTTGCAAAAACCTTGCCATTTAGAAATTCCTCGACAATTTTTCCATGGGTACCCTAACTCAAAATAAAAATTCAATTTTAATTTTAGCACGGTTTATCAATTGTTTTTGGAGAAATGATTTTTTAAATTTTCATGATTATAACGATTTTGCCAATATATCATCATCAATCATAACTTTGGTTCCAATTATTTTTTTTGTTTTTAATCTTTAAGCGACTACAAGTTTTTTTATCAATATTAGATCGTGGCTATCGAAAAATTAATATTTTTTTCGGAATTTTTAATAATTTTGATTTTTTCCACTTTCGGACATTTTGTAATATCAAAAATGATTTTTTTATTTAATCTTTTTATATTTAGCCCTTTTAACTAATTATTATTATTAATAATAATTTTAATATTGAAAATCAATGAATCAATCATTTTACTATATATTCATAGGCACTACTCTTTAATTTTGTTTAAACAATTTTAATAGTTAAAAAGGCTAAATAAAAAAAATCATTTTTGATAAAGTGGAAAAAATCGAAATTATTAAAATTTAAAATTCCGAAAAAAATATTAATTTTTCGATAGCCACGATCTAATATAGATAAAAAACTTGTACAGTGGCCGACACGGAATTTTGAACGACATAACTTGGTTGTCAATGTATACATCTGTAAATAGCAAAGATACAATATTGAGTATTTTTGCGTTCGCTGTCAAAATTACAATACTATAGTGATAACCGAAAGTAAGGTTAGTTGTCCATAAAGAAAGTTTAGATTTTGATGTCAACGGGATGATAGTCGTTCAAAATTCCGTGTCGGCCACGGTATTCGCTTAAAGATTAAAAACAAAAAAAATCCAAACAGCGTAGAAAAAGGATTTTTAGTTTTCAAAGAAAAAAATCATAGTGTGCCGATATGCCAAAGCATCAAAAATCTTTATTTCAAATAGCTTGTTTCAAGACAAGAAAAATAATTGGTCGTTCGTCGAAATCGCTCAATTGGAACCAAAATTATGATCGATGACATATTGGCAAAATGGAAATTTAAAAAATCATATCTCCAAAAACAATTGACAAACCGTGCTAAACTTAAAATTGAATTTTTATTTTAAGTCAGGGAACCCATGGAGAAATTTCCAAGGAATTTCGAAATGGCAAGGGTTTTTTTCGTGTCGAATTCACGTGTAATTCCCCATATGTATGTCTAAATATCATTTAGAACACAATTTATTTTAATTGAGAAGGTAAGTTTATTGATTTTAAGTAACTTATACCTTAAAAATTAAAAGAATAAGATGAAAGTAATTTTAACAGCTGTCAAACACGCTTTTAGGTTATTTTGTTTTCTATTTGAAAATAATAAAAAATAAAAGGGTCGTAGAAAAAACATTGTGTTTCACTTGTGAGAAAAGCTTTCTTCAAGCTCGTGTTAATGCACTTTCAGCCTAACGGCTACTTAAACATTCGCATGAAAAAGTCGCTTTTCAACACTTTTCAAACAAATAACCATTTTCAACATACAACATTTTTCATTTTAATCAATTTGAAAATATAATGGAAAATAATTGGACTATTAAATCCAAATTTGATTAATCAATCACTTTTTTAAGACAATATTTAAAAACAATAATTCACCATTTTTGAGACTAGTTTTTCCACCAGACAATGCTCCCAAAGGTAGCGCTCCAGTTGGCGTAAGTCCTTTGAGTTGTAAAACTGACTCGCTCTCCTCTCTGCAATCAATACATTGGTTAAAAATTAAAAAAAAAAATGTTTTTTTATTTACCTTAACACAGAAAATACTCTGGCCATTTTTCCAATAGCCCTGATTTTATTGCGGATAACCTCCTTGCGTAGATTTGCTGCAGTGCCTAAAAAATCAATAAAAATCAATACTTTGTTTTCTTTTCATTATTATTATACTACTAAGGCTCGGTATGTACAAAACGGAGCTACTTTGTTGTACTAGTATTAATTTGCTTTAAATAAAAAAATCGATACATTTTTTAAAAACTCAATAAGTAGAAAGAAACAGCCCTTCAAAGTTAAATTAAATTTTGAGGCCGACCCTGGCTAGTGCTACATGCATTTTAGATTCGTTCTATCAATTCTTCGAGAGTATTCACCAGGTTTTTTACCACTAAAGTTTTTATTCACCCCCACAAAAAATTCAAAGAATTCAGATAATTTATTGCACTAAATTAATAACATGTCCATGTCCAACTTTGAAAGGCTGTATCCCTCTTAATTTTGAGTTTTGAAAAAAATTTACTAAAAATATCTGTGTACTTAATTTCTACACTCTATTAAAAAAGCTATATATTTTGTTTTATATAACTCGTACTGTATACCTATGACAATTTGTATTTTTTGTATGATCGATAAATTCTATAGGATAGGTAGTACCTAAACAATTTTAAAAAAATAACAGAGTACATAACACTTTGCTAAAAATCCATTTTTATGAATGTATAATAAGGTCTATAATAGTAATAATTGATATAAGGCAAAATAATACTGGTAGGACGACTTATCGCTAATCCCAATTTCATCTGGGTATTTAAAACACTTTTGTTTTCCAATAAAAAATACTATTCTACAAAATCTATTTTCTAAAAAAGTTTTAACTTTAAAATATCTAATAACCCTTCTATAATTCTAAACCTAATTACAACATTTATTACAATGATAGCTAATAAGCCAAATAATATATATTTACCCTTTTTCATTTTATTTATGATAAATAAATGAGAAAAAAGCAAATGATTCAATTAACATCAAATTATCATGCATTAAAGTTAAAGCTTGTCCATTTTGTCGCTCATAAAATGTTTTGAGAAAGACCAAAAAATAAATAAATTGTTTTTATATTTATTTCTCCACACCCACCTTTAAGACACCCATTATCGTACATGTTGCCATGACACTAAGTGATTTTTTAAATACAAAGTGACAAGCTGGGACTTGGCGTTTTAGTCACGGTCTGAAGTTAGCACTGCAGTTTCTTTCAGGCTGAAGTTAGCTTTAAGTTGGTTGACAGTTGTCAAATGTCATACAATAAGAAGGGCTCTTGTGAAATAAAATTATATTATCTTAATACAAAATTATAAAAAAGTTTTTATTTTGCATTCAGTAAATTAGTATTTGCCAATAAAGCATTTTGGGTGGAGTACCCATAAAACATCCTTTTAACTTTTACTCTAAAAAACTTTTTCTATATCGAATTTAAACAATTTTTAGTCCATTTTCAAGGAATTAATTTTGATATCGGGAAAAACAGAACATCTATTTTTGTATAGATGTCGCTCTATAAAAATATTTAAATTAATTATTAATACTATTCTTATATTATAAGTCCCTCATCGGGACTGTAGACACAGAGATTTTTTTTCCAACAATGCTATTGACATTTCGACTACACGATGTCTAAGCCAAAACATTATGGAAAAACAGGTTTCTGACCTGACAAAACAAAGTTGGTATTATAATAGTTTGTATTGAGATAATAAAATATTTTTTACATTTCGTCTCAAAATGTTACCTACAGTTTTTTAAATTAAACTCATACAGTTTTTGAATATACATTTTCTTTAATACAAAAAAGTACAAAGATTTCAATTAATGCAGTTTTAAGCACTCTTGTATAACATCCTCTGATTGTTTGTTTAGGATTTCTTTTTTTATGTTTCAAAAAAATAATTTTTAATTTAACAAAAATAAGAACAACATTCCCGTAAGTGTTAAATTAACCTCATTTTTCTCAGTATACTTTATTTTAACGATTGTATGACATTTGACAACTGTCAACTAACTTAAAACTAACTTCAGCCCGTGACTAAAAACCTGTTGCTAACTTTAGCCCGTGACTAAAAGGCCATAAAGCCACAACTTGTTAATGTGTATTTACACTGTTTAAAATATCTGTGTTGTAAAGAGTAATTTTAAAATGGTGTCAAAATCCAATACCAAGTGGTGTTAATATAAACACCATGAATTATGGTTGAAAATGTTATATACAGCAAACACCAAAACGGTGTTTATCTAAAAATATTTGAGAAGTGCACTTACACAGAAAAAAAGGAATAGTTCATTTAACTATATTAATTTAGTGGACCCATAAGTTTTTATTTAAATCAACTGTGGAAAGGTTAATATAAACAAAGATTAGTTTGACGGTACTAAACCAGATAGTTATTTTATTTTTTTAAATTGGTTAAATTAACCCAGAAAACCAACCCGCTGTATGGTTTAGTTTACTAAATATGTTGTTTGTAAAATAAGAGTTACTTCAACCTAAAGCACTCTGTTAAAACGATTAAAACAATTTGCCGTGCATTTCTGGTTGCATAGTGTGTACCGATCGCGGAAAAGGCGGTGTGGATCACGTGATGTTCTTAAATCTCGCCTCTGCTGACTCACATGAAAAGTATATAAGCTCAGGTAGTCCATTGCTCTCGTGTGACACTACAAGTTGTTCGATATTAAAGAGACCTTAAATAGGTGGAAACAGCTGTCAATATTTGAAGTATTTTAAGTTGGTGGAACGCACTGTAAACATTATCTCTAGCGAGTTGAAGGTTCAATTTTCTGGAATAATACCACTGGTAATATACTTGCGTCAAGGAACTTCCTGTTTCCTTTCTTTCCTTTTTTTTGTGTAGTATGATTTATTTTGACCAAAAACACATAATATTTAACACTGAAAAGAAGTTCAATTTACACCAGGTAAAATTTATTTTAATACTGTGTGAAAGTTAAATTTACACCATTTTAGTATTTGAATTTACACTGGACCATGGTCGTTGCAACGAACCATATTTAACATCATTTTGGTTTGTATCAATGTATGGTGTTAATTTGGTGTTAAAATGGTCATGAAATTTTGAACAGCGTAAAATGCCACTTGTACGATAATGGGCGTTTTAAAGGTGGGTGTATAAAAAGATTTTTAACGAAAACTTTATTTTAGAATTAACAAAAGCTACATACTTCCAGACCAATCTAAAATTAATTAATGGTTTTCTTACGTAACTACCTTGGCGTGAAAATAATTAAGCAGTTTTGCAACAACGGTGCAATGGTAAGGGGTAGTTGGAAAAAGGCGCGTTTTCCGTATAAATTAGCCCTTCTCAAAAACATTTTAAGAGCACTCAACTAATTGGATTCGTTCCAACAGCGACTGCAACTTACCAAAAGATGCAGATGTCGGCAATGACCAGTGGCGTAGTAGAGACGGGCAGCGATTTTGGGCAGGGCACAATGTGCAGCGAGCGTAGATAGTATAGAAAAAAAATCAAAACAATGGTGCATATAGAAATTGTAGCGTCAAACATAACATAAGTAAAATAAAATAAATAATATAACGAAATTTCGCAAGGCAAATATAAACGAATAAACGATTTATTGATGCCTTTTTTAAATGTAAAAATACGAAAAAAAAACGACGTCAGGCTTAACAATAATTTCGAAATACGTATTGATATTCAAAATTGTTAAGAAATTATTGTTTTTCGCCAAATGAATACTTTTCAAAACAAAAAATTATTAAAAAACTGTGTTACTGAAAATCAGCCAAAATGATTTTAAAATTGAAAAGCATATCACAAAAAACTAAGCAAATTCTGCTTAATCATTGTAAAAAAACTGCCAAAATCAACTTAAAAGCAAAAAACCTAAATAAAAAAAACTAAAAAATAGATATAAAAAACTAAACAAAATTTTCGATTGAAATACAAATTTTACTGTACTGCACTATTTAATATTGATAATAAATATACAGAGTGATCCAAATTATTACCATCCCTTTATTTCGAAACCACAAACAGTAACGTCTTTTAATTTGTCTGACATACAAGTTGTTTTAAAATGATAAGAAGAAGGTGATTATAGAATTCCAATATTTTCAAAATCTCCAAAATTTAAAAAAACATTAAAATTTACAAACTATTCTCAAAATATCAAAATTCTTATCATCTCCTTCTGAAGTTTCACCTCAATAGCACACTAAGTCTTGTGCTTATAAAGGTAAGGAAATTTCTTTACAACCTTCTTGACTAGGGTATCAAATGAAAGGCGTCAAACCCTTTCAAAACAAAATTATTAAACTTCAAGTGTGCTCTTGCGGTGAAACTTTTGAAGGAAATGATAGGAATTTTGAAAATTTTAAGAATATTGATATTTTGAAGTTTTTTTAAAATTTCAATAAATATACAGTGACTTAACTATACTTGAAAAAAAATTATTTTCAATTTTTCGAAGAAAAGTCACTTCTCATAATTTCTTCTGCTTGTTATATAAATATTATTCACGATGAGAAACTTATTATTATTTTGTTATACAGGTTGCGCACAAAAATTGAAGATTTTGCAAAATTAAAAATTAAAAAATTAAATATTTTTTTTTTAAGGTCTAATATGAAGAGCTTGAAAGGAGAAACCAAAAAGCCAAATAAAGTTTTTTCATGTGAGTTATTGTTACTAAGATATTTGTTATTAAAAATAAAATCAATTCAGGTCCTAACTTGAGTGGTCCTATTATTTTGTAGATTTTCTACAATGTCTACAATTATTTGTTAAAATTTGAAAACTAATATCTTAAATTTTCAATATCAAATATCTTAGTATCAAAAACTCATATCAAAAACATCATGAAAAAAGTTCATTTGACTTTTTTGTTTCTCTTTATATTAGCGCTTAAAAAAAATATTAAAAAATTTTTAATTTGGAAAATCAGTATTGTTGCTCCTTGTAAAGACAACAAAATGGATGTTTATCAACGCGACTTGAATTTATATAACAAGCAAAAGAAATTATGAAAAATGACTTTTCCTCCAAAAATTGAAAATAAATATTTTTACAAGTATAGTTAAGTCCATCCGTTTATATTAGGGTAACAATAAAATTTAATTTTTTTTTCGCTCTTACCCTCTTAAATGTTTCTATTTAATATAAAAAAAATCCTCACCAAATATGGGCGTTCCAGCTCAACTCCAAGAGGTCGCTGTCTTTATTTTAGTTTCCCATTTAATTAACAGAGGTCGCTGTTTTTATTTTAGTTTCCCATTTAATTAACATGGGAAACTAAAATAAAAACAGCGACCTCTTAGAGTTGAGCTGGAACGCCCATATTTGGTGAGATTTTTTTTATATTAAATAGAAACATTTGAGAGGGTAAGAGCGAAAAAAAAATTAAATTTTAATTTTTGAAGCACCCTAGTGTATAATTTGAAGATTTTGGAAATTTTGAAAATATTGAAATTTTAAACTTTTTTAAAATTTCAAAAAATTCCAAAATATTAAAGTTGAAAATTTCGAATATTCTTCCAATGTCCAAAATCTTTAAAATTTCTATCATCTCCTGTTGAAGTTTTTGGACATTTAAAGAATATTGAAAATTTTTAAATTTTAAAAAGGTTAAAAATTCCAATATTTTCAAAACTTTCAAAATCTTAAAAAGTTTATTTAAACTAGAGTAGTTAACTTTTTTGGATCACCATTCATGTGCCTTATCTTTAGAATATTGAAATTCACCTCAATATTCTCAAAATCTTCAAAGTTTATTTAAACTAGAGTAGTTAACTTTTTTGGATCACCATTCATGTGCCTTATCTTTAGAATATTGAAATTCACCTCAATAAAAAATTGTGCTTATAAAGTTGATCTTTTACAAAAAAGTTAATTACTCGAGTTTTTGTAAAACACCCTTAAATAAACTGACATAAAAAATTAAACTTAAAAATGTCGTTATCATCATTTAGGAACACCATGTATATCTGCATCAAATATGAAGCGTTTCCTTTTTTTCGTTTGTGAAATAAAAAGAAGAATGATAATAATTTGGGCCACCCTGCAATAATAATAATATAGATACACACTTTTTATGATTTGCTTTTACATGTAGTAGTAATAATGCCAAATATTTAATCACACTTAACTTGTCAAAAGGTATGCATCATGCTTACACTACTATCTAACTAAACAATGAGTAAACGTAGAAAAAAAGAAAGTTGATCTAAACTACAAATGGATAAACATGGAAAACTTGAAAATAATCATTAGCCGAAACAAAATGAAATAAAATATGGCCAGGGTTGTTAGTGTTTCCAAAATAATTAACATTTACATTTATTTTACAATTTACAGTAAATTTTGATAAAATTTGTATTTTTTTAATAACATACGCCCACTTAAATAGCGAAAATTGGTGCCGTTTAGTTAACAATGTCCATTCACGATCGATAGTCGATTAAAGTTTTGTTTAAAAAGACTTTATAGAACAAAGTTTTAAAATATTACTCTAATGGCGTTTTCAAATATTCAAGCCTTCAGTTAAAATTTGTTTCAGCAACAAGAGCAGTCTTAAATTAATTAAGTAAAGACTCTTTACTAAAGAGTTCCCGTTTTTAGTTATAAAAAGTTTGTTAAAAAAAGTACTTATAAATCCTATAAAAGTACTAGAAATTATAATTCAATTTAATATAAAAATATATGTGTGGTTGAACAAAAATTGTTAAGCGTCATCCTGTTATATAAATGGTGTCCGTTTTTAGAGGCTCTAAAGAAAAGCAAGATATATATATATATATATATTGTTGGTTTAATATCATTTTTAGTTTTCGAGATATCTTAAAAAACAAGACTTTATAATTTTTGGTTTATATTTTTATTAAAAAAAAACGGTTGCATTTTTAAATTTAGACACTTTATAAGGAAAATTCGAATCTTTTTGCTAGCTTGTAAAACTGCCGAAATAATATAGGTACCTAAGCTATAATTTAAGATACCCATGCTTAGCCTAAGACAACGTACATCCTGCAAAGTTTATATTTTATAGGTTTGTACTAACGGCTAAATTAAACCACTTGTTTAACATATGTTTTTATCGTGTATTTTATTAATTTTGATGTTATCCCACTAACTAAATAAAACAAAAAGTTAAATATAGTATAAAGGCAATTTTAAAATTTTTAATCTCAGAAATTTTGGAAATGTTAACTTTTTAAATTTTGTAAATTTTAATAATAATTATTAATGTGCAGTTTTCAATTACCCAGTTTTAAATTAGTTAAAGGCAGGGACATTTTTCAATTATCCAATTTTGTTTAAATTTAAAAATTATTTTTGAAACTTTTAGTATTTTTAAATTTTAGAAACCTTAATTTTGCAATATTGATAAGTTTTGAAATTTTAGATATTTTAAAAATGTTGTAAATTTTAGACATTTAGAACATTTCGTAATTTTTCTAAGAAGAATCTAAGAAATTATGACAATGTAGATTTTTTAAGTTATAGAGATTTTTTAATTTTTAAAATGTAAAAAATTTAAATTTTGTAAATTTTAATTTTAAATAGTTTGTGGAATTTAGTAAAACTAAAAATGTAAATTTAAAAAAAAAAAATTTGGATCATTTTTTAAATTCAGAATTTTTTGAAAATGTAAGAAATTTTGAAAATTCTGTTAATTTCTAAAATTTTAGAAATTTTAAAATCTATTGGTTTGGATATTTTGTAAATTTTTAATTATCCAATTTTGTTCAAATTTGGGTTTTAGCTTTTAATATCCGGTTTAAAATAAATTAAAGTTTTAAATTATTCAATTTTGTTCGAATTTGGGCTGTTTTAAATTATCCGAAATATTAATATTTATTATTATTGAAATTATTTTAATGTACAGTCTTCAATTACCCAGTTTTCAATTAATTAATGGCAAGGACGTTTTTAAATTATCCAATTTTGTTTCAATTTAAATTACACGAAACATTTATTTTAATCCAGTTTTAAATAAATTTAAGGTAGGGAAAGTTTTCAATTGTCCAATTTTGTTAGAATTTGGGCAATTTTTAATTAACCTTTTTTTAAATAAATTAAAGGCAAGGACATTTTTCAATTATCAAATTTAGGCAGGTTTCATTAGATAAAACATTTATTTTAACGTGCAGTTTTCAACTATCCGCTTGATTTGATTTTGCCCTACCGTGCCAAAAGAAGTTTCACTCAAAAAAATAAACCTCAAATATTTCAAAACACTAATATAACTGCAATGTCACTTACACCGCCAAAAGAATTATAACTTGGGTTTGCACATAAGAAATTTAGGTTTTTATAGAAGTTACTTTACGTTATATTACTAGGAAACCGTTTAAAAACAGATTTAAATTCTAAATAGTAAATAGACATTGTTAGAGGCTTAATATTTTAATGGAAATTGTGTGGGACGCAGTACTTGATAATTTTGTTCAAAAATGATCATTAAATGCAGTGTTATTTTAACTCCTCTGTCCAAGCGGCATGTTCTGTGATAACTTACCAGGTTTTTTTAATACTATTTTAGCCTGTTTCGCTGTGTGGGCGCGATTCCAAGGCGAATATAGACAAATAGTGAAAAATAGAAGTGTCAGAATAGAAGAAAAAATATAAGCATACGTGTGCATGGATTTTTGTATAAAAAGTGACATTACACTATCAAAGATCAATAATTAACATTATTTTATTAAAAGTTTTAATTAAGAATTTTTATGTAAATGTGCCGGAGATTTATGCAGTGCATTTAGAATATTTCAAATAAAGGTTCATTTGGCAAGATGCTACTTGGGATGTACAATAGGAATAAAGAGAAAAAACATTAAAGTTATCAAGACAAAAGTGGGGTAATAATATTTACAACATATTTGGCAATATTCTTTCGTCCAAATACCACAATTTTATTTTAGTTTATTTGTGTATAAATTAAAATAATGACCCTTTACAATAACCTTACGTATAATATTAGCCCAATCATTGAAGATATTTAAGATGAAAATCCACCAGTTTTATAGAATTTAACCGAATTTAACCACAGCACTGGATCTACCACCTCCTAAACCAAATATTATTTAAAATTAAGTAGGAAAGATTTTGTAGCCAAATTAAAAATGAACAATAATAACTATTACGTACTATATCGTACCTACATATATGTTGTTTCATTGTTGTTTTAATTACACTGCACGTCAAAATTAACGCATAACAAGCTAAAAAAATCCAACTCTACGCCTTTACTAATCTTTATAAAATTTTGGATAAAAATACTTTAACTTATATCTTAGTTTACGTGTTCAAGATTTTTTCAAGAAAATATCCTTAAAGCCCTTTTATTTAATAATAAAAAACGCTCGAAAAAAACTTTTATGGAGAATTTTTTTTAAGTAAATAAAAAATATGCTGTGAAAGACCGTATTTTTGTTAGTATACCCTGAATTTTTTTACAAATCAAACAAACAGTAACAGAAATACAGCGCTTTAAAGTTGTCAAAAATGACCACTTTTCAGCAAAATAATCAGAAAGGGGTAATTTTTACCGACTTTGAAGCGATGTATCTCCATTACTGTTCGTTTGATTTTTACAAAATGTTCAGGGTATACTAACAAAAATACGGTCTTTAACGGCATATTTTTTATTTAGTTAAAAAAAATTCCCTAAAAGTTATTTTTCGAACGTTTTTTTATTAATAAATAAAAGGGCTTTAAAAATATTTTCTCTAAAAACCCTCGAACAAGTAAACTGAGATATAAGTTGAAGTATTTTTATACAAAATTTTATAAAGATTTGTAAAGGCGTTTTAGAGTTAGAATTTTTAATTTCTTCTTGGGTGGGAAATATTTTTACACCTAAAACCTTAAATGAATGAGCTATATCTTAAATAAAAGCTTTGTAAAAGGTTTCAAAAATAATTCATGAAAAACACATTCAAGTATGTTTTCCATAAACCAACAAAATAAAAAAAACAGAAATTCAATGAACTGCCCGGAATTTCTAAAAACTCAAAAAAATTGGCTGTATAATCAAAATTAAAACACAAATAAAAATACGTCGACAAAATTAATAAATGTAACACTATTCACCAGGCATTCTATTTTGAAATTAAAAACTACCATTTTAAAGCAAGTATAATGGTAAATAAAAACTGAACCTTACCATCTGAAAATCCAAGTAGCATTGTAAGAAGGTAACAGAGAAAAATACGGTTTTAAATTTAGTATGTTTGAATAAAAAAAACAAGCGTGTTTTGTTAAATCTGTCAACTACTTTGGTGTAAAAAAAAAATTATTTCATATTTCTGTATATTATTTTTGGGGATAAAAGCTTTGAACAAAAATCGCCGTTTGATATAAACGAGGTAAATTAAAATGTTAAATGTTACAAAGGCTTACATTTTAAATAAATTTTTGTTTGGTACACATGTTTTATGTATACAGGGTATTTAGAAAATGGCACACTTGCCAATACGCATCCGAGAATTTTAAGTTTTTAAGAAATTTTTTTTGTTGACTACTTTTTTGGTTATGAAGCATTTGTGAATCAAGTTAGTGCGTCATTTTTCAAACACCCTGTGTATAAAAAGCACGGACGTGAAAGTTTGTTTTTAAACCAGATGCAAATAATTATTAGTTTAATTCAGGCGCATCCACCATTTTTGCAAAAATACGGATGGAAAATTTTCATATAAATATTTTATCCTAGCTAAGAATCGCCCATAAATCAGAAATTTATTTTACTCCAGGCAAATATTGTATACTCTCATAGGGTTAGAAAAATTATTATGGGGTGATTTATCGCCATATCGAAAAATTGATTTTCTATTTGTTATGAGAAAAATGGGTGTATCGAATGGTTATAATATACTTTAAATTTATGTATATTTCTACGCAATTTGGTTAAGAATATAACCTTTTTATTCTAAAAATACTTTCCTCACCGAATTTTAACACAAAATGTTTAACAAAATTTTTTTTGGTGTGATTTAGTTTTTAAAACGTATACGTATACATGTATACAATAGGATTTTTTATTTAAATTAATTATTTGTGTTCAGTCTAAAAACAATTTTAATAAAAAACATTTTTTTCTATGTTTAATTTTAAGGAAATAAGAAAATATTCATAACTCTAATTAATAGACATGCAACAATATAGAAGAAATATTTTTGTAGGAAATTTTAAGCCTTACAAAAAAGGTCTCTACGATTTTTATTTAAAACCATCTGTTTAAATAATATCGAAGGTCAATGTTTGAAACAAATAAAAAAATATTCTTTTTTTCTGAAGAGGTCTTTTTTTACTTAGGTATAATCCATAGGTATTCATAATTTAAATATTATTTGTGTACAGTTTAAAAACAATGCCGTTTTTTCTTCAATATTTTGTTTATACCGTAAACAAATAATTTAGATTATACCCAAGTATAAACGGCCATTTCAAGAGCGCGAAACTCACGAATTACAAAACTGTTTTTATAAAAAAAATTGTAGATTATTTATTATATAATATTTTGGCATCATAATTGTCAAAAATATTCTTCTTTTATTAGGTTATACATTAAATAAAAAAAAAAACGCAAGAAATATTTTATGAAAGTAGATATAATTTTAATAATTGAAAGGTGTGGACGGGACAAAAAAAGATTTATCTTGTCCCGTCCACCCCTGTCAATTATTGAAAATATCTCTACTTTTATAAAATATTTCTTGCGATTTTTTAAATTTAATGTATAGATAGCCTAATAATAGAAGAATATATTTGACAATTTTGATGCAAAAATAATATATAATAAATTACCTACAATTTTTTTTATAAAAACAGTTTTGTGATTTGTCCCGTCCATCCGCTTGAAATGGCCGTAAAGGCAGAAAAAAAGACAATACTTCTTATTTTGATTTATTTTAAATTCGTTCCGATTTCACGAATAAACCAACTTTTTCGTAAAGCGTACAATTTTCTAGAAAAATGTCTTATACACTGCCCGTCAAAATTAACGCATAATAAGTAAAAAAATTCTAACTCTGAAACGCCTTTACCAATCGAGAAAATATCCTTAAAGCCATTTTTTTTATTTAATAATAAAAAACCCCCGGAAAAAATATTTATAGAGAATTTTTTTTTAAGTAAATAAAAAATATCCTGTAAAAGACCGTATTTTTGTTAGTAAACCCTGAAAATGTTGTACAAATCAAACGAACACTAACGAAAATACAGCGCTTAAAAGTCGTCAAAAATGACAATTTTTCAGCAAAATAATCAAAAAGGGGTAATTTTTACCGACTTT